GCTGAACATGTAACCTTTCATGATGAGCTGGAGAGGGAATGGTCTGGAAAGGTTATGCGCTGGAAGGATGGTCGAACCTGGATTACAGGATGGGGCTCAGTCTACTGGTGGAACGATGTGGAAAAAGATGATCTTTGCATATGTGAATTTCCGGAAGCATGTGGGACAAAGAAAAAAAATTTGGTGCATATTAAACGAGGTGATGGTTCACAGAGCCAGCCCACCAACCAAGAACCAAATCAGGCTGACCAGTGAAGTAGGGGGCTACAGTTTTGTCTAAGTTTCCACATCAAACTCTGCTAATGTTTTATATAAATATTATGCTTTCAAGAATAAGATGTGTTATGAAATGTTGAAAAATATTTAGAATTTTTCTGTAGGTCACTATTGTCAAGGTTTGGGTTGGGTACAAATTAGTTTGAAATAGGATCTTGTCGAATTGCAATATTATGGAGTTTCTACAACTATTTACTTTGGAATAATGCTACGAACACCGACATTTTGTACCGAAATGTTAAACTGAACGACGTATCACCTGAGCCAAACAAGCACCGTAACAGGTTAAGTAATATTTCGCGAATGAACGGCCGTCCATCAAATATGGACAATCGTCCATTTTTATTGGACGGTCGTTCATTTGAAACGAACTCCCGTCCATATTATATGGACGAGAGTTCACCAATAAGGACGCTCGTCCATAGTTTAAATTAAAAAAAATTAATAAAAAAATCATGGACGCTCGTCCATATATTATGGACGGGCATCCCTACTTAATGGACAAACATCCCTATTAGATGAAAGTCTGTCCATTGTTTCAATTAAAAAAATTTGAAAACAGAGCAATCCCATTCTTTTAGCCAAAGTCTATGAACATTCATGGCACTTGTTTCTTTACTTTATTTTTTATTTTAGATGGTGGACCCCTTGACTGCATTGATGTGTGCATGACATCTTTTTCTTTACTTTATAAAAAACAGATGTATTATTGACATAAACTAACATAACCTATAAACAATTAACAAAAGATCAGACGTATTGTTGACACCAACTAACATATTGCGATAATACACAACTAAACATACGCCCCTTTTATAACCCCATATTTAGACATTTTGAATGCCAACATAATTAAATATGAATTGAATACGAAGAAATGTTTGCAATATCAATACAATGCACCTATATAATTATTAATAAATAGGTATGTTTTTACTATCAATGCAATGTATCTATCTAATCCAATCTTTATGTCTATTTATTTAGACCTTGGAATACCAACATAGCAATTAATATTGGCTACATCATCACCAATAAAATTCAACCACATGGCAATCACAAATCCAAGATGTCATTATGGTTAGACCCTTAGGGGGTGTTTGTCTGAGCTTATGAAAATTAGCTTATAAGCAATAATTGCTTATAAGTTAAAATTAACTTATAAGCATTTGAAATTTTAAGCAATTACGTATTTGGTTAAAGTACTTATAAGTGACTGATAAGTAATTGACGTGTTTGGTAAAATATGGCTTATAAGTATATTTTATTATAAAATTACTAAAAAAGGTACTACATTAAACAATGGCATACTATGGAATTTTAAAATTAAATAAGGATAATATGGTAATATACTCGGTCAAATTAGCTTATAAGCAGCCAAAAAAAAAAAAAAAAGTACATCCCCCCCAACTTATTTTTTTTAGCTTATAAGCTCAAAAAAATTATAAACAAATAGGTCAGCTTAATTTTAGAGCTTATAAGTAAGTTTGACCAGCTTATAAGCTTAGACAGACACCCCCTTAGAATGTCAATGTAATGCATAGATATAATTAGTATTATTATTAATTATAATACAACCAATGCGATGCACCTATGTAATACAATCTCTATGTCTAATTATTTAGACTTTGGAATACAAATGTAGCAATTAATATTGTCTATATCATTACCAATAAAATTGAACCACATGACAATAAAAAATCCAAATGTCATTATGGTTAGACCTTTAGAATGCTAATGCAATACACCTGTATTATTATTATTATTATTATTATTATTATTATTATTATTACATATTCTATTTTTTAAATTAACTAATAATTATAGATAAAGCAATAAATACGAATCCAACGTGTCAAGATAAAACAATTTGATTGGCTTGTCAATCCAATGTGTCAAAATAGAGCAACTCTAGAGCTTCCAAAATGTGTCACATGATAAACAACCCGCATGAGTATTCAGCTTTATATATATTTTATGGAATCTGTTGCCTAACCATTGTCCATAATTATCAAAGCCTGCTGTGATCGATAACTTCACTGTCAAAACATCAATTTGTCTATAGAATGGTAATAGGGCAAATACTAATTGTGATATCATGATTTAAGAATGCTTGGAATTTCGACAGATCAAGGTATCATCGAGGTCTACATGCCATTGCCGAACCATAACCAGGATGTAATTAATTGCATTTAGAATTTGTTATAACTTTTCTAGGAACACTACTAAACCATAAATTTGAATACTTATCCATGATCTAAGGATGGCCGAAATTTGGATAGTTTGATATATCATAAAGATAAACAATTCCATCTGTTCCTATATTAGTCAGTCCTAGGTTATTTTTTATAGTCAAACTAAGTATTAGGCAACTTGCCTGATACCAACTTANCACTTTTTCCTACCCAAGGTTTTCCTTAATTACCTTTGGTTTCCAAAAACTAGGCATTAAATGAAGGGTGTTGGAACTTAGAACTAGTACTGAGTCTTCCCATTTCAAATTCTCTTTTTCCTACCCAAGGTTTTCCTTAATTACCTTTCCAATCCAAAGAGTTTTAAAATACCACTTTGCTACCCAAATTTTATATTCCGTTGATTCTCAAAATGCACTTCACTTATTCAGCCAGCATTCAGTAACTTACCAAGAGCCAAGATAAGAGGATTTTTATAAAGTGGAGATCGATGGATGGAATGATGCTGACCGATTGAATATTCGCCGCCAGAATCAGCTATAAATCATCTAAGAGCAAGAAACCCTAAATTTGTGACAGCCTGTAATCAACGAGAAATCAGGTGTCGGAGTGAGAGGGTTTTACAGAGAAAAGATCGAAGGTTTAAATAGTGGTGATAAAAAAAATTTTTGCCACTAGAATCGGCTTTGAGTATTAACGAAATATAATATTTGGGTGAGAAAGTAGTATTTTGAAACTTTTGAGGTGAAAAGTGTAATTAAGACAAACCTTGGGTTTGGAAAAAGTTGTTTACCCTAAAAAAACACTAGGCATTAAATGGAGGGTGTTGGAACTTGGAACTAGAACTAAGCCTTCCCATTTCAAATAAATGAGTTTGGTGTGGAATTAAATTGCAGTTTTATACAACCACATTATTAACTCGAAATATCATGCCCAAAAAAAAAAAAAAACTGTAATTTGGATTAGTGGATATTTGCTGCCTTCATGTTAGTTTTAATATTGTCTTCAATATCTTAATGTTAAACTTTTCAACTTCCAGAATGGCATTAAAGTCCAAGCTGATAGCATTTAAAGTATAACAGTCAGTATCTTTTCTTGATTACTGTAATAAAATAAAGTGCATCGCAGCATCAGAAACAGAGTTTGAGAAGCAGAAAGTCTAAAGCTGTAATAGCAGTCATCTTTAAATGCTAATTAACTACATTAATGGCTCTGGTCTGGCAGAGAGGTGAATTTCATTGCCTGTTCACATTTCTTCAAGGTTATCCTACTCTCCTCCCATGAAGTCAAGAAACTGGTAAGTCATAACTTTTATTCCTTGCTCTGCTGAGATGTTTGGTTAAAATAAGAAAAACAAGACCTTTTTTTTTCTTTTAACTTAGCTACATGAACACATACATGCACTTTCATTTTCTGAAAGTTTCTTGGCTACCAAACATAACATATAAGTAATGCAGTTTTGATTTTGCATGCGAAGAGCTACCTAACTTTGAAGGAGAAAATTAAGCAAATGACGTCTTTTTATGTCCTTAAAACATGTACGAGCTGGTCTTGATTAAATTAATCTATTGTTCTATTCTGCATGGAAGATCGGTCCTCTGCATGAAAGCTCCAAGTTTATTTATTTTGATAATTTTCTAGTCAATCATTTGGGTGCTAAGAAAGTTTAGTATACATGAAATTTAGGCATAAATTTTTCTGTTCACATGATATATGATATCGCGGATTCTATTAGTTTCTTTCATTCCAGAGAATGTTGTTTAATATGGCAAAAGCTCATTTGAGCTGCTGAACAAGTTTCTGTGACTTCAGTACTTAAAAGTTTTTTCAGATGCCTTAAAATATTTAAGGATTTAATACCCTTATTCATATTTTTCAGTTGCATGCTTGATATTAGTTGCTGGACTCCTTCCTGTGGGTGTCTCTTCCATATTAAGTTTAGTGGAAGTCAAAAAATTTAATACTCTTGTGCACATTCAGCTGCATGCTTGATACTCTCTTTTAAAATTTACTCCTACTTCCAATAACATGGCAATAATACGTAGTGTATTATTCGTACTTAAGGGTGAAAATTGAGTTGAGTAGCTCGCGAGTTACTCGATTTCCCATTTTAAGTACCAAGTTTGAGTTCAAACTTGATTTATGAGGCTCGAACTCAAACTTAAACTTGGTATTGTAATGATCAAGTCTCGTTCTATTTACCAGATACTTGAATCGACTCGATTTAACCCCTAATTGTACTCCATATAGAATGAGCTTTGATTCAAAACATTGGAAGTCAAAAAACTGTGTAAGAGTTGGTGCCTGGAAGTTGGAAATGAGAGTTGCATTATCACTCATTGGAAGTCCAAACATCTCCCAAAAAAAGTCCAACTTCTGAAGGGTATAATAATTAATCAACCAGAAACGAAGTATATGCAACTTTTTCATGCCTAAACTTATGTGTTAACAACCACCATAGCTTCATCTCTGGTAACTTAAACAATGGCTTGTGCTTGAAGGAAAGTAGAACCCGTTACATCGATTTCTTTGATGGAGAAATCACCACATTTCTTCAAGGTTATCCTTCCCTCTACCCTGGCAGAGAAGAAGCTGGTAATTCACAACTTTTTTTATTCTTTGCTGCACTGAGATTATTGTCAATGTCCATCAGTCATTGAGCCTTTTTGTATGATCACAGGGGATTCCAGAAAAGTTTGTAAAGAAGTTTGGGAATGAACTTGCTGATATTGCAAAGCTGGAAGTTCCCAATGGTCAGGTTTGGCTGGTGAGGCTGACAAAAGATGGGAGGAAAATTTGGTTTCAGGATGGTTGGGACGACTTTATTCAATATCATTCAATCTCTGTTGGATACTTCTTGGTTTTCAAATATGTGAAGAATTCAACATTCCAGGTTCTTATTTTCTATTCGACTGCTTGCGAAATTTACTATCCATATAATGCAATGTAATCTAACCCATAATGCAATGCGGACAACTCAAATTTGAAGCCTGGAAACAAGTGTAAAATGGTTAAAAAGGCAGAGATAAATGAATCAGATTATGAGAATACACATAATTTTTTAGCTTTACTTGAAGAAATGGGAATCTACATTACTATTAAATGTAGCTTTCTCTCTAAAGAAGACAGACAGAGAGCAATCCACTTCGCCAGATTGTTGAAGCCAAGAAATCCTTCTTTCATGGTTATTTTACGATCTCATAAGATGAACGAACCCCGTGTGGTAAGTTATTAGATAAAATGTTGCCTTAATCTTCTCATATCCACATTCAATAGTGTTTTGCTTACAGTTAAGTCATACAACCAGACAAAAATTACATAAAATTTATGTATAATAACCGCTCTGACCTTTGTGTTTTGTCTGGTTATATGACTTAGTTATAAGCATAGCGTTGCTCGTCAACATTACCATTAACGTCTCATTCGTTATTATTTTTGGCTTCTGCAGATTGTGCCAATGAAATTTGTGGACAAGTATTTAGGTAGAAACGTCAGATGGATTAAACTACAGGCTTCTGATGGAAGAGTTATGTGTGACGTCCAAATCAGGCAGGTGATTTGCTGAAGTTTTCTTTTAACTAAGGGATGGTTTAGAGTTTTAAAAGAGGAGAACTTGAAGCAAGGAGATATCTGTGTCTTTGAGCTCATCAAGATGAAAGTCTTCATTCTGAAGCTTTCAGTATATCATGCAGCTGCAAAGTTAATATGAAAATGAAGATGAAGATGTTTTGGTTAGCCAATGTTTAAGGAATTTAGAGCTCAAATATGTTCATAATCTTTTAAAAGAGTGTATTAAACAGCAACATTGAGCCCTTCCCAATTTTGAATATATTCTCTGACTCCATAAATGAGTTTGGTTTTTTAGTTAAAGTTCAGATGAAAGGATCCACATATAACCTGATAGAATTCCAAGTATAATATTGGGTTTCTTTTGAAACTTTCAGTAATTGTAATCTAACTGATAAGAGGTTTAGACACTCATTCACAGCCTGTTGCCTACAGCTAATGTATATAAAGCTACAAAAAATCAGTGCCACAAAAGGCAGAAGACCAATAAATTTTTTGCCCTTTTTGTGAATGGAGGATTGTTTCTTATTTATTTTGTTGTAAATCAATACTAATTTCTCAACCTGCCAAATCAATCTCAGATCATAACAGAAAACGCAAGAACAAAGAAAATTAGACAACACAAGATCTACCGTGGTTCGCTTATTCAATATAGAACAAGTTACATCCACGTTGAACTCCAGAATATGAAGCTCGCTGTACTAGGATTAATCACTTCAAAGATTACAGATTACAGACCAATCTCCTTCACTGTCAACCAAACATTCACACACTCATTCACTTCTCTTTATCCCGCAAATCCTAACACTAAAGTACTCTATACCGTTTAAGGAACACCCTGCCCTCAAAATAAGACTCTAGAATGATTTACACAGAGAAGAACCAGAATGAATCACAAACCCTAACCCAGGTTACAAAACGTATTTACAGAGAAAAGAGAGAAAACCCTAATACACGAACAATTTTCAAAATGCGTGAAAAGGTTCCCCTTTTATACTGTTGACTTGTGATTGAATTGGAGCCGTCGGATTCTCTTTAACTTTGATGGCTATGATTGATTTGGACTAATAGGTAAAACGGCAGCGTTTTTTCCCTAGCCTAAACGACGTCACAGGCTTCACTTATTTAACATATTTGTTAAAGCTTCTGTAATTATCTGCATTTTCTCAGAAGTTGATATACTCTTGATACAACCTAGTATATATCATAATCCCAAGAAATTTAGTTCAAATTTCTGTAATACGTAAAGGCTTATTTTAATTAAGGGTGTTAAAAAAAAAAGCAGAAACCAAACCGAACCGGTTTTTCGGCGGTTTCAGTTGAAAGAAATACAAAAATCAATTTTTTGATTCGGTTACCGATTTACGAGAATATGAGAGCTAATTAATCGAAACCGGTTTTGTAAACTGGTTTATTATCAAAATATCAAATTAAAGTATTAAAAAATCGGTTTATTATAAAATATCAAAAACCTGTCTCGGTACTCTCCTCATTTTCCCAGCACAAACACTTGCCAGTTTCCAATTTCTTTTGGAGTAAACGATTTTTTCCCACCCAAGGTTGGTGTTAATGACACTTTCCTACACAAAAAGTTTCAAAATACCATTTTTTCACCCAAACTTTATATTATGTTAATATCAAAAATACATTTAACTTTCTCAGTCGACGTTCGACGAGTTTTTAGGAGCTAAGGTAAGAGGATTTTTGTAGGGTGGATCAAATAGTGATAACTAATTGAATATTCATTATCGAAATAGGCCCGAAATCAGCTAAAAACAAGAAATCATAGCTTTGCGGTGGCAGGAAATTGGCAAGAAATTATGTGTCGGAATGAGAGGGGTTTTATAGAGAGGAGACATGAGGTTCAAATGGTGGTTTAGGGTTTAGGGGTTATCGCCATCGGAATCGGCTTTGGGTAAAAACTGAATATTAACCTTGGCTGGGAAAAAGTCGTTTACTCTTTCTTTTGTAATATTTGTTTTAAAGTGATCCATACTTAAAAGGTTCCAATTTTTTTGTAATATTTGTTTTAAAGTGATCCATACTTAAAGGTTCCAATTTTTTTGTAATAGAGGGCATTGCGGTAGAAAATGCAAGAGATAGTTTGTCTCAAACAAATGATTAGAGTTATTTAATCTCCAACATTAATCTATTAGATGATATTGTTCACTGCTTTTGATAATAGCATCCTTAATGTTACCTACAGATTTTTTTCTTATTTCAATGCATTCAGTTATAAAAAGATATGTTCAATTTTTACCCCTTTTTTTGGGTCTATAATCTTAACTTGTGTTTTTCGCCCCAAAATATGAACCCTCGAAACCAAATACTATTTTGACTAGCAAACAAACAACCCTTAAGTACCAAAGCTTTAGTTGGCCAACAAACCAGCCCTTGTGACACACCATAAATATAATCAAACTCTAATGAGACCAAGTATTGATGACGGAGGATACGGGCCTTGTCAAACCAACATCTTTAGCAGGTTTTTCTGTGTTACTGGGAATCTGAGCCATCAATTTTTTCTGGTTTTTTATCTGTGTGGGACATTCATGATGTTAATGTTGATGTTGATGGGAATTTAATAATAAAATTGGCAGCAAAAAAGCAACAGTAAACCAGTGAAAGAACAGTAATAAAAACAGCAGAAAATAGCAAGGGAACTGCAGGAAAAACAGTAGAGAGATAACAGTGAAACAGCAGGAAAACAGTAAGAGGACAGCAGGAAAACAGCGGTAAGAATAGCAGAGAGACAGCAGCAAAACGGCAACAATATAGCAGTGAAACAGCAACAAAACACAGCAGCGAAATAGCAGCAAGACAGCTGCGTTAAGACGTGCAAAAGCACTGTCCTTAATATCAAAATTCCACATCTATTGGAAGAATCTTCGTGATGCAAAAATATTTAACAGCGGATTGACTTACAGGATACAATGACGAATCTCCTTTTAGAGTACACACTCTAATAGAGATTTAGAACAGTGCGTTAAGGCATGCAAAAACACTGTCTTTAAAATCAGAATTTCGCGCCTACTAGAAGAATCTTCGTGATGCAAAATACTCAACAGCGGATTGACTTACAGGATATAATGAAGAATCTTCTTTTAGAATACACATTCTAATAGAGATTTAGAACAATATAAGATAAAATAGAAGCGGTGAAAGAGAGTTGGAAGTTATAAAAAGGTAGAGGCAAAATGAATTTTATCAAGTAGAAAAATTGTCTCTGCATAAAGGAGAATAAAATACCCCTTTTTATACTTGCTTCTTACATGTAACAGCCATTTTTTTAATTATTAACATTAAAACTGCCTAGTTTTTATAACAGCCATTTTTAATCAAAAAAATGAAATTGCCGGCCATGATTTGAATTGTAAAGTAACCGAAGCAATTACAATTGCATTCTAAGTCATAACAGTCCAAAATTTTAATTACATTCAAATCATAATATTCCAAACATTTAATTAAAAAATTATTATTTTGAAATATCATAACAGCCTAACAGTAGCCACTCTCTAGTCTCCACCAGGACTTCACACCCAATTAAATTAAACTTTTATCAATTCGATCAACTTTAAAATAAATTTCCATTATTTAATGCCCCAATCTGCCACCATTAAAACCTTTCCGTTTTCTCTCCAAAGTCACCAAGAAAGAGAATGGCGATCCCATAAAGCCTCCCTCAAGTTTTCAGGAATTCGATTGCGACTGTCAGTCTGTCACCATATAAAAACCCTTTTGCTTTTTCTCTTAAACAAATTCATTTCACTTCTCTTTCTTCATCTCCATCTTCACCTTCAAGGTAAGAACAAAGTTCAGCTTTCCAAATTTGTTTATATGGCCGTCAAGTTTAAGTGTCTTCAGTGTCCTGTAGAAGCAAGGTTCTTATTGAAAGTGATTAATACTTTTCAAAGCTTTTTTAAATGATCAAGAACTGAATTTTTCTCATTTAAAGCTCTTTATTATTTCTACTCCATATATCAATATGAGCTTTGATTCAAACATTGGAAGTCTAAACACAGTGAGAGTTGGTGCCTGGAAAGTTGGAAATGAGAATTGCATTATCACTTATTGGAACTCTAAACATCTCTCAAAAATAGTGCAACTTCTGAAGGGTATATGAAACGATCAGCCAGAAACAAAAGTTTATGCAGCACATATAAATTCTTAAGCCTTTAACCTATGTATCATTATCAACCACCACCATAGCTTCATCTCTGGCAACTAAACAATGGCTTGCACTAGAAGGAAAGGCGAACCCGTTACATCAAATTCTTTTATGGAGAAATCGTCACATTTCTTCAAGGTTATCCTTCCCTCTTCCTTGGAAGAGAAGAAGCTGGTAAGCTGCTGGGATTATTGACTATGTCGATCAGTTTGCCTATCTGTGCAGGGATTAAATAGATCAGCTGACCCTTTTTGTATGATCACAGGGGATTCCGCAAATGTTCGTGAAGAAGTTTGGGAATGAACTTTCTGATATCGCAACGCTCGAAGTTCCCAATGGTCGAGTTTGGTTAATCGGATTGACCAAAGATGGGACCAAAGATGGGACCAAAATTTGGTTTCGGGATGGTTGGCACGACTTTGTTCAATATCATTCAATCTCTGTTGGATACTTCTTGGTTTTCAAATATCTGAAGAACTCAACTTTCCAGGTTCTTATTTTTGATTCTACTGCTTGCGAGATTCACTACCCATATAGTGCAGTGAAGTCTAAGCCACGATGCAATGCGGACAACTCAAAATCGAAGCCTGAAAGCAGGTCTAAAACGGTTGAAAAGGCAGAGATAAATGAATCAGATTATGAGAATAAATATAATTTTTTAGCTTTTCTTGAAGAAATGGGAATCTACTTTCCTATTAAATGCAGATTTGTCTCAAAAAAAGATAGATTGAGAGCAATCCACATCGTCAGATTGTTGAAGCCAAGAAATCCTTCATTCATGGTGTTTTTGCGATCTCATAGCACAACTGAACGCCGTGTGGTGAGTTTGTAGATAAAATGTGGTTATGAATCTTCTCATATTGATGACATTCATATCTTCTAAGTTAGCCATTCTTTTTTGGCATCTGCAGGGTGTGCCAGTGAAATTTGCGAACAAGTATTTATGTAGAAATTCCAGAACTATTAATCTACAGGTTCCTGATGGAAGAGTGTTGTGTGTTAAAATTCATAAGCCGACTCGTGGAGGCTTTTGTTTAACAGAGGGATGGGTTAAATTTTCAATAGAGGAGAATTTGAAGCAAGGAGATATCGGTATCTTTGAGTTGATCAAGATGAAAGACTCTATTCTGAAACTTTCAGTATATCATGCAGCTGCAAAGTTAGCATGAAAATGAAAAATGTTTTTGTGAGCCAATATTTAAGGTTACTATAAATATTGAGTGACAACCTAATCTTACAAACTTTTATAAACTTTCTCTCACAATTCGACATGATAGTTTATAATTGGTCAACTCATAATTAAACGTGCGGGACTTATAGCGAGCAGACAAGACTCATTTACTAGCTAACCAATTACAGAATTGTGAGTGTGAAAATGGATTGTAAATGCAGTATTACCCAGTTAAGATTAATGCTAAAAAATGCTCGTAACCTTTCAAAATAATGCATTAGATAGCAACATTGTATTGATTATTTATGGAAAAAAGTTTGTTGTTAACAATTTATGTCATTTGTAAAAAATTGAGCAACCCCAATATCCAAAAACAATCTTGGTGTGCATGGTTCAAAAAATTTGGAGTACTGTAACTAATTTCCAAGTTGACGAAGGCATTGGGTTTGTAATTTCCAAGTTGACAATTTTTGCAGAACCCATCACCAGGCCCATAAAAAACAAGGCCTAGTCCAGCGTAACAATAAGCTGTACAACTTAGAAAGAAAAACCAGGGCCAACTCTCACCAGCCCAGTCCACAGAAATCCGAAGACAGCAGCAGCCCGAAATTCTCCCTGCCCAACTCGCAGCCGGGCCCTTTATCATGTGGAAGCCCAAAGATTTAATCCAATCTCTTCCTCTGCAGCAGCCCACAAACTCGCCTCCTGCCTTCTGCCCAAACAGAACCCAATCCACCCCCTTATAAACTCCAGGCCCAAACCCCATTAACTAAAAAGCCCACCTAGAAAAAAAAACCCAACTGTTCCTTCTTGAACCCAAACCAAGCACAAACACCATATGCTCCGTTTGACTTATTATTTCTATCAATATTCTCAATTCTATTCTCAAAATACTTATTTATTTTATTATTTGAGAAATATTAGTATATTCTTTAATTATTTTTAGACTCCTTAAGTTTATTAATTTCATTAAATACCTCAAGAAAAAAAATTTAAAAATTAACAAAAACACCCCCACCCACCCATACTTGTCAGATTCCGGAAACCACCATCGGTGGTAGCTGAAATCTGTCACAACAGTCTACAAACGACTAGAACTGGCCGTTAGCGATGGCCAAATCTAGACTTTTGTGGTCGTCGACGGCCAGATCTGATCGTAGATCTAGCCTTTTCTTGCCAAATCTGTGATGAATATAGCCGCAAAAGGCCATATCGATGCCCTACCCACCAGAGCTGATTGGTCTACGTGATAACTCCATTTTTTTACCAGATTTTGGTGGTGGTGGCCAGAATTTGACACTGTGGGTGGGTGGGGGTGTTTTTGTCATTTTACAAAAATTTTATATATTGGGGTGTTTAGTTAAATTAGCAAACCTAGGGGTTTTTTTGTTGATTTTTAAATTTTACCTCGTAATACTCCCCTATTCAACTATCCTATATTATTCCTAAAACCCTATCCAAAATAACAAAACAAACGAACCCGTGGTTTGTGATTTTCTATTTCAATGGATTCGGGTCCGATCTATTTTTACCCATACGATAGCCGACCCATCAACATCCCTACTAACAAATCTCACTTGAAACTTTTCCACCAGGATGACTTGACCATTAATAATTGGCTCCACAATTTAACTAGTTTTCCATTTTCCCTACAATAATTGACTATCCTGATAAATATTGTAAGTATTTTTATCAACTTATGAATTTTGTATAGATACATTAAGTTCTGATGTCGGGACATCATAGTGTTTATGCACAATCATTTTTGTAGCTTATGTTGTCATGACACTCAGTGTTAGTGTCGAGATAGTAGTCCAGTCTAATTCCATTACACATGTCGTGTCTTCATTAGATGTTAGGATATTCTTTATTAGATGTGAGTGGTCCATTGTTGACGAAAGTTGAAAAGGTCAAAACTGTAACTTTACCTGTCTCTTGTAACAGTGTGCTTTTGTCTCTCCCATTTCATATAAAGGAGAGTTGACTTCTTGTAATATCAGTTAATCAATACACTGAATTTTTCTACTCAATTAGCTTGTCTTCATTTTTCGTTTTCTCTCAAATCTCACATGGTATCAGAGCTAAAGACAAACATCTACAGCTAAGATTCCTGGTTCTTCGTTCAATTGAAGCATCATGGATCTCAGCTCAACTCAATCTTCAATTTTTTCGTTAAGTCTGCAAGTAATTACTCCAAAGCTTACTAGAGACAATTACAAGGATAATTATGGGTTCTGGTGGTCTCAAGTACTCTCGGCTGTTGGAGCTTATGAAGTGGAAGAACACCTAACAGGTTCAATTTCATGTCTAAAACCTTTAATTGTCTCTGATAGTGATAGTTCAACTCAGTCGAGTGAAAACCTAACTAAGGAAAAAATCAATCCAGCTTATATAGCATGGAAGAAGACTAATAAATTCCTTGTTACTTGGCTTTTAGCCTCTATCTCCGAGTCATGTTTAGTCACGTTTTTAAATGTCAATTTGCCACTTAAATTTGGTACAATCTTGAGAATGAGTTCATTATTGACTCTAAAGTAAGAGCTCTTCACCTAAAGAATCTACTTCATACCACTCAAAAAGGAAGTATGAGTGTTAGTGAATTTTTCAAGAAACTGAAAGGTATTGCTGAGATTCTGTCGGGTAGTGGTCAAGTCATAAGTGATGAAGATCTACTTCAATATGAGCTAGATGACCTAGGTCCAAAATTTGATGTTGTCGTAGTCAACCTAACATCAAGAATTGAGTCTAAATTTGACTCAGTTTCTCCACAAGAAGCTCAATTTTTGCTTCAAAAATATGAGATGCGACTTGAGAAATTCAATAGTATTGATTTTGCAAATAGCTCAGTGCATATGGTTTCTCTCAACAATCCTTATGTTACACCATTGCCTTCTACTGGTCTAAGGGGATCACTAAGCTCTAATGATGTTACTACATCATTATCCTACATCATTATCTAGTTTTCCTTTTGTTTATAAATTGTGCAATTGATCCAAGCAGGAAAGTTCCTTCAACAGTGCCCTGCTCTTCACCTTGTTCTTCTATAGCAGTTAGTAAGCAAGTTCCACACTCCATTACTCCTATTTCTAGTCAATCTCTTGTTGTGTTACAAACCTCTGATTCTAACTTTAATACTTAGTCTTGTTCATCTTCTAAGTCACTCACTTCTTCCTCTAACTCACCCTTGTTAACTACCTCTCAAACACAATCTTCTAAGTTTGTCTGACAATATCTTGCTAGTCCACTTATCGTGGACCTCACTTGTTTTCCACCTATACCTTACAAACCCAAGCCCTCAATCATTTCAACCCACACACAAGCTCCTCTGTCTCGACAGAACATTGACTGTAGTCATGTAGTTGATTTGTCCTTATCTCAATTCTCTGCTTCCCATTCTCTTGTTTCAACCCAATTACCATCCTTCCCAACAACTCATAACCTACCCTCTAGCACATCAGTCACTCCAGCTACCTCTCCTTCACCTGCTAATGTCCATCATATGATAACCAGAGCCAGGTTTGGTAACCAAAATAGAATTTTTCTTGTAGCCTCGACACCTCCTTGTGTCCAACCCGAACCTACCTCAGTAAATGAAGCTCTTGCTTGTAATGAGTGGAGAAAGGCTATGCATGATGAATTCACTGCCCTCATGAAAAATGAAACATGGACCCTTGTTCTCAAGATCTCTAACATAAATATTGTTGGTAATAAATGGGTTTTCTGAACCAAGTATCATGTTGATGGTTCATTACACAAGTATAAGGCTAGGTTAGTAGCAAAAGGGTTTCAGCAAACCCTTGGTTTAGACTATTTTGAGACCTTCAGCCAAGTTGTCAAACCTTCCACCATTAGAATCATCTTTACTCTTACTGTTTCCAAAGGTTGGGATATCCAACAAGTTGATGTGAACAATGTCTTCCTCAATGGCATCTTGAGTGAAATAGTTTACATGAGCCAACCTATTGGGTTTGAGCATCCTCAACTTTCTTCTCATGTGTGTAAACTTGATAAGGCCTTGTATGGTCTCAAACATGCATCAAGAGCTTGGTTTGACAAACTCAAGCAAGCCTTGTTGAATAGAGAATTCCAAAATTTAGTTTCAGATTCCAACCTCTTTATTCTTAAGGATACAACTCAAGTTCTCTATATTCTCATCTATGCAGATGATATCCTCATTACTAGATCAGACAATGCCTCTATTTTACAACTTGTAGTAAATCTAAACAATGAATTTTCATTAAAAACACTTGGATCTATTAATAACTTTCTTGGTTTGGAAGCCACTAGAAATGCAGAAGGTATTCACTTGAAGCAGACTAAGTATATTGGCGATTTGCTATCTAAAACAAAGATGCAAGATACTCATGTTTGTCCAAATCTCAAGGCTACTGGCACTGAACTTTTCTCCTCTTATAGTGAGTTGTTTAAAGACCCTAGTCTGTATAGGAGTATCATCGAGGCTCTACAATACTTGACTTTGATAAGACCAGATATAAGCTTCACAATGAATAAGCCTAGTCAATTTCTTCAAGCTCCAACTAAGCTTCAATGGCAGGCTTGCAAAAGGGTATTACTATATATTAAAGGAACTCAATTCCATGAGTTACAATTCAAACCAACAGCTACCTTCTATGTTGAATGTTATACCAATGCAGATTGGGGTGGTAATCTTAATGATAGGAGGTCTACAAGTGGCTATTTTATTTACTTGGGACCCAACCTCATTCAATGAAATTCTAGTTCATCAGGATGAAGAATATTGGGGAAATGCAATGGAGTTCAATCCGGAGAGATTTTCCTAAGGAGTTTCGAAGGCCTCAAAGAATGATCAAGTCTCATTCTCCGCCTGGGGTCCTAGAATATGCGTCGGACAAAACTTTGCATTGGTGGAATCAAAACGGAGCAAATGCACCGCTATCTTAAAACATCTTTATTTGACCAAGGTTTCGAAAATTATAATAAAAATTTGAAATTATATCAATAAAAATTTATTATTATTATTATATTTTAATAGTAATTAAATCAGTGTTTTCCGTTGTTATGGGCTACTAAAAAAATATAAAATGCAGGAAAGAATTCGTTCATATGGTTAGGTCCAACACCAAGCATAAACATCACGGACCCCAAATTGATAAGAGAAATAATGTCAAGGTATGAAATATTTCAAAAACCCAAGATGAGCCCACTTGGCAAGTTGGTATTCAACGGGATGGTGATGTATGAGGATGAACAATGGTTCAGAGTCAGAAAGACAGCCAACCCAGCTTTCCATCTAGAAAAGTTGAAGGTTTTTCTTCTTTCTATCCTCCAATACTCTTGAAATTATCTTACCAAACATAATAATATAATTATGCGGTGCCCATTCGAAGATATACAATCTTTGATTTCTAATGAAAGTCATGCTTTTATTATTTCATTTTACCTACATCTTGAGTCATGATTTAAAGATTGATTGGACCGTATCCTGATAATATGACAATACTCTTTGTATGAAATCTGATGTATTAAGACTGATTTAATTATATTTTAAGATTGTAAGTTGTGTCGTTGCTTTCTTGCTTTAAGCTTGTGATATGTCAGTCGATATGATTTATTATATAATGTATTGTTCTTACATTATTAAACATATTATTTAGTACAAAATTTGAAATAGGACTGTAAATATTAAGAATTTCTCTTTAGTAGTGTACTGAATCTAAAATTCATGCACTCTTATATTGAGATAACCTCACATGGTCTTTCTGTTTCTTTTTCTTTGTAGAATATGTTACCTAAAATATATTTGAGTTGCAATGAGATGATAAGGCAATGGAAGAGCTCAATCGCAAATGAAGAATCTTGTGAATTAGACGTATGGCCTGACATTAAGACTTTAACAGCAGATGTGATTTCTCAAACAGCATTTGGTAGTAGTTTTGAAGACGGAAGAAAAATATTCGAACTCATAACGGAACAAATTAGCCTTTTGAATCCAGTTTTCTACTTCTTCCACATCCCTGGATGGAGGTAATTTAAACTAACTTGGGGTCGTTTTATATTTATTTTGTTGAAGTTTATGATAAATAAATTCAGAAATGAAAACAACGCTCAATACAATTAGAAAGTATTATTACATAAAATTGATAAAATATCAAACAACTCAATAATATTTTTATTGTAAGGTTTTAAATCTATTTTCTAATAAATGTTAGTCAGTACATTTCATGCTTGCACTTATGAGATTAATTTGTCTCTTCTCAGGTTTTTGCCCACTCAAGCCAATAGAAAATTGAAAAGTAATAACATAGAAATTATAGAATTGATAAAAGGCATCATAAATAAAAGAGAAGAAGCACTGAAAGTTGGCGAAGCAGGTAGCGATGATTTGTTGGGTTTGTTGGTAGAATCAAATCATAGAGAAATTCAAGAGCATGGGAATAAAGAGACTGGAATGAGTATTGAAGAGGTGATTGAGGAATGTAAACTTTTTTATCTTGCTGGACAAGAGACTACTGCAAGTTTGATTGTATGGACGATGATTTTGTTGTGTATGCATCAAACTTGGCAAGAACGAGCAAGAGAAGAAGTTTTCCAAGTTTTCGGGAGCAAAGAACCGCAATTTGATGAGTTAAACCGCTTGAAAGAAGTAAGTAAACATATCCCTTATAAAGTTATATTTTACTTGAGAGAATTTAATGTTTTAAGACTCCTCCTTCACATTAGTTAATTAATTCCCTGGAACATATGTGTTTCAGGTAAACAAAATTCTCCACGAGGCACTGAGGTTATATCCACCAGTAGCTTTGTTTATCCGAGCAACTATGAAGGAGTTCAAATTGGGGGAAATGAAAATACCACCTGGAGTTTTAATTGCATTACCAATGATTCTAGTTCATCAGGATGAACAATATTGGGGAGCGGATGCAAAGGACTTCAATCCTGATAGATTTTCCCAGGGTGTTTCAAAGGCATCAAAGAATGATCAAGTCTCATTCTTCCCATTTGGTTGGGGTCCTAGAATATGCATTGGACAAAACTTTGCATTACTAGAAGCAAAACTAGCTTTAACAATGATTGTGCAGAATTTCTCTTTTCAACTTTCTCCAACATATGTTCATGCCCCAGCTCGTGGTGTAGCTATACAACCACAACATGGTGCTCACATGATCTTACGCAAGATTTAGTATTATATATAGTCTGTTGGGGAGAGAGTTGTTGGTTAACTCACTTCAGTGTATGGTTACCCATTTTAAGTATAGTGGAAATATTACTAAGTTGTTTAAGACATTTCTAATTTAACCACATCAAACACAAGTGCAGAAAATAAATGATACAGACATATACATGGTTCGGCTAAATCCATTTTTAGCCTACATCCATGGGACCTTGTTCAGATTCAGGCAATCCACTAAATAAAAAACACATTACAAGATATAGTTCAAAGTTGATCAAAGATACAGCAAAAAGAACTCGCTATTCAACTTTACACTTAGCACCACACTCTGAATCCTTAACGTGTAGTAACTCCTTAGATCATCTTTAACACACCCTGAACAACTTGTGAACCACCAAGCTTCAAACACCGACGCCACGCACCAGCATCAGCAAAAGAACCATGTTCGAAGAGCCTCAAGTCTATGTTTGATGTGGTGAGGTTTTGGCACAAAATGGAAATGAACCTATGAACCTTAAGAGAAAGTATACTCTAAGAAAATCCAGAGTATAATGAAAATAAAAAGGTTAGATTTAAAGACGCAAGATGAGATGATATACAGTGTACGGTTTCTTGCTCAACACATTAGTGTCACATAAGCCAACAAGGAGTTGACCCATGTTTGTCCAAATAAGGAAAGTACTCCTTCTTTCGGTTTGGACCACAAAGCAAATCGGGAAAAGAAACTTTATTCCCTAGGACCACTTAAGGGTACTATGACATGTGTAGAAAGGTCATAAAAAGTAAGAGTCAAAGATGAAAAATATTTTTTTCATTTTATCAGACATGCAACTCATGCTGGGTTGCAAATATCTAAAGCGAGAGTGTAAGCACAAACTATTGTGCACACACACTCGAAACGAAACAAGCCAAGATGCAAGTCTGGCAACCAGTGTGCACGCAGAAAGATGTGCACACACACAACAAAGGAAACTAGCCAAATCATAAGATTGACAACCAGTGTGCACACATAATCGTTATGCACACATAACTCATAAGTTTGACAAATATAAATATTTCACATTCTCCCCCTTTGTCAAACTTATGAAAAAAGAACATAAAGGAGATCAAGTGCAAACCTGTTTTAATCAACCCCCTTTGTTATCAAATTTTTTTAATTTAAACTATGAACGGGTGTCCTTATAGGTGGACTCTCATCCAATAAGTAAGGACGCCCGTCCATTTCAAATGAATGATCATCCAATAAAAATGGACGGCCGTCCATATTTGATGGACGGCCTTTCATTTGCGAAATATTTCTTAACGTGCTATGTGGTTCGTCTGACTTAGGTGACACGTCGTTCGGTTTAACATTTCGATACAAAGCGTCGGTGTTTGTAGCATTATTGATAAGAAAATACATCAAATAATCAAACTGATAACCTCATTTCATTGATAGCTAATCAAATTCTGCTTACAATTTCGTAGTAAAATAGTTAGAAGATATACTTACAGTTCAGAAGAACGAATCAAAATAACAACTCATTTGTCAATGTCAATCGGACATCCTTCCTTTATTCCATGTCAATTCATGAATTTTTGACCTGTAAACAACAATAAAAACAAAAACAAATAAAAAATCATCAATTAACAAAATCATGAAGAACATATGTATTATTGACACAAACTAATATGACCTATAAACAATTAACAAAAGACCAGACGTATTGTTGACACCAACTAATATATATTGTGATAATACATAATTAAACATACGCCCCTTTTATAACCCTCTATTTAGATCTTTATTCACCAACACAATTAAATATGAATTGAATACGAAGAAATGTTTACAATATCAATACGATGCACATATATAATTATTAATAAACATGTATGTTTTTACTATTAATACAATGTACCTATCTAATCCAAACTTTTTGTCTATTTATTTAGACTTTGGAATACCAATATAGCAATTAACATTGTCTACATCATCACCAATAAAATTCAATCATATGGCAATCACAAATCCAATGTGTTATTATGATTAGACCTTTAGAATGTCAAAGTAGTACACCTATAATCAGTATTATTATTAATTATTAATACAATCAATTCAATGCACCTATGTAATCCAATCTTTATGTTTAATTATTTAGACTTTGGAACACCAATGCAGTAATTAATATTGTTTACATCATTACCAATAAAATTCAACTAAATGACAATCACAAATCCAAAGTGTCATTATGGTTAAACCTTTAGAATGCTAATACAGTGCACATGTATTATTATTATTATTAATTATTAATACATATTTTATTTTTTAAATTAGTTAATAATTATAGATGAAGTAATAAATACTAATCCAACGTGTCAAGATAAAACAATTTAATTCATTCGTCAATCCAATGTATCAAAATAGAACAACCATAAAGCTTCAAAAATCTCTCTCTCTCTCTCTCTCTCTCTCTATATATATATATATATATATATATATAATATATATAGCTTCTCCTCTTTGACTAAGGCTTATTAAATAACAGCATTGATAAGTTTGTTGATTTATGGTGAAAAGCTAGGTGAACCCAATGACCAAAAACAAACAGGCATGCGTGGTTTCTAGAAACTAGGCATTAAATGAGGGGTGTTGGAACTTGGAACTAGTACTGAGTCTTCCCATTTCAAATTGATTTTTTCCTACCCTAGGTTTCTTTAATAACATTCTCATCTAAAAAGTTTTAAAATATCACTTTTTCATCCAATTTTTATATTCCGTTGATTTTTAAAATATACTTTACTTACTCAGTCGATATTAGACATGTTGCCAAGAGCCAAGGTAAGAAAATTTTTCTAAAATAGAGGCTGGTGGATCGAACAGTGCTGTCCTATTGAATATTTACTGTCAGAATCAGCTAGAAATCACCTAAGAACAAAAAACCTTAGATTCGTGATAGCCTGCAATCGATAAGAAATCAAGTGTCAGAATGAGAGAGTTTTACAGAGAAGAGATCAGAGTTTTAAATGATGGTGACGGAGAGAATTTTTGCCATCGGAATTAGCTTTGAGTATTAACGAAATATAAATTTTTGATAAGAAAGTGGTATTTTGAAACTTTTAGGGTGGAAAGCATCATTAAGGCAAACCTTGGGCGTGAAAAAGTGAGTTTACTCTAGAAAAAACTAGGCATTAAATGGACGGTGTTCGAACTTGGAACTAGAACTGAGCCTTCCCATTTCAGATATATTGTATAACTCTACAAATAAGTTTGGTTTGGAATTAAATTGCAGTTTTATACAACCACATTATTAACTCGAAATATCATTTGGATTTGTGGATATTTGCTGTCTTAATGTTAGCTTTAATACTGTCTTCAATATAGTAACAATAATACTATGGACACCAGGATTTTTACACCGAAATATTGTATCGATCTACGTGTAACACGTCTCTGATTTTTTTAACAATTTTTTTCTAGTGAACGACCGTCCATCAAATTTGGACGGCCGTTCACTCACATGGACGCCCGTCCATATTATATGGACGGGGGTCCATATACCAAAGACGGCCGTCCCCAATTAAAGGACACCCGTCCATAAGTAAAATAGAATAATTTTTTTTTTATAAAAATTAGGGACGACCGTCCCTTCATTTTGGACGGCCGCCCTTATTCAAAATATGAAAGTAAAAAAAGAAAAAAAATTGGGGACGACCGTCCATACATTTTAGACGGCTATCCCTTAAGTTTGGACGAGCGTCCATTAGGAATGGACGACCGTCCATACATTTTGGACGGCGGTCCCTTAAGTTTGGACGGAGAATGGACGCCCGTCCATACTTTAAAAAAAAAAAATCAAAACATTCTAAACACCTTTCTTCTTCAATCTTCTTCTTCGTCTTCGTTTCCCATCTCCTCTCTTTTTCTTCGTCTTCATTCCCCCAGCCTCATCTTCCTTGCTGGGATGCACTCTTCCCTCTTGGATATGAACACATTGTATCCCACACACCCTCTGACCTTGTACCTGAAACCTGCATCCTTCGTGTGATTGCTGAGATCGCCCGTGCTGTGGGATCAACTGGCATGGCTGCCGGGCAGTTCCTTGATATTGAAGGTGGGCCTAATTCTGTTGAATTTGTGCAAGAGAAAAAATTCGGTGAAATGGGTGAGTGCTCTGCAGTGTGTGGAGGATTGTTGGCTGGTGCAGAAGATGATGAAGTGCAGAAATTGAGGAGGTATGGAAGAGTTGTTGGGCTATTGTATCAAGTGGTTGATGATTTGTTGGATGCGAAAACACAGAGTGAGGAAGATGAAGAGAAAACAAAAAAGAAGGGGAAGAGTTATGTTCCTGTCTATGGCGCTGACAAGGCTATGGAGGTGGCTGAGGAACTCAGAACCAAATCTAAGAAAGAATTGGATGGGTTCGAGAAGTACGGTGAGAAAATGGTGCCACTTTATAGCTTTGTGGATTATGCTGCCGACAGAGGATTTTCTGTTGGTGATTCAAGTTGATACAGTTTTCTTTGTGCATCACACTGCTGAGAAGGGGCTGAATATTATTGTTTTAAGTTTATTAAGGATTTTTCGCAGTGTTGATTGCAGTGAATACTCTCAGAGTTTGATACATAGTACACGTTTGAATCATTAAAGCCGGCTCATATAGAATGTTTTTCCATTGAAAATGGAGATGTCAAGCTTTGTAATTGTATTTAGTTGAATGTTTGTAGCTGTTCTTCAACATTGTAAGTATGTTGCTTAAAGTTAGAGGAAGAGCCCTTGTCCACCCAAGTGGAATGCCTGAGAATACATTATGGGCCATGTTGATACTGGTAAAACAAAGCTGCTGGATTGTATCCGAGGTACTAATGTTCAGGAAGGTGAGGCTGGGGGAATGAAGACGAAGAAAAAGAGAGGAGATGGGGAATGAAGACGAAGAAAAGATTTAACGAGCAAGGTGTTTTAGAATGTTTTGATTTTTTTTTTTTAAAGTATGGACGACGTCGATTAGGAACGGAATCTCGATGTCGGTAGCATTATGGATTATCGTAATGTTAAACTTTTCAACTTCCAGAATGGCATTAAAGTCCAGCTGATAGCATTTAAAGTATAACAGTCATATCTTTTCTTGATTATCGTATAATAAAGTGCATCACTGCATCAAAACAGAGTTTGAGAAGCAGAAAGTCTAAAGCTGTAATGGCAGTCATCTGTTAGTGCCAATTTCATTGCCTGTTCATTTCTTCAAGGTTATCTTACCCTCCTCCCTTGAAGTCAAAACTGGTAATTCATAACTTTTATTCCTTGCTGTCTGAGATGTTTGGTTAAAATAAGAAAACTAGACCTTTTTATGTCCTTAAAAACTGTACAACAGTACGAGCTGGTCTTGATTAAATTAATCTATTGTTCTACTCGCATGGAAGATCGGTCCTCTGCATGAAAGCTCCAGTTTATTTATTTTGATGATTTTCTAGTCAATCATTGGGTTAATAAGAAAGTTTAGTATGCATTTAGGCATATTTTCTGATCACATATTATATGATATGCGGATTCTACTAGTTTCGGTCATTCCTCCAAGAATGTTTTTTAATATGGCAAAGGCTCCATTTGAGCGCCGAGCAAGTTTCTGTGACTTCAGTACTTAAAAAGTTTTTCCAGATGCCTTAAATATTAATGATTAATACCCTTATGCTATTTTTCAGTTGCTGCTTGATATTAGTTGCTAGACTCCTTGTGTGGGTGTCTCTTCCATATTAGTTTATTGGAAGTCAAAAAATTTAGTACTCTTGTGCACATTCAGCTGCATGCTTGATACTCTTCTTTAAATTTACTCCTACTCCAATAACATGGCAATAATACATAGTGTATATTCTACTTAGGGGTGAAAGTCGAGTTGAGCCGCTCGAGCTACTCATTTCCCATTGAAGTACCAAGTTTGAGTTCGAACTGATTTCTGGCTCAACTCGAACTCAACTCGTATTGTGTGATTGAGTCTAGTTCTATTTACCAATACTCAGACTCGATTTAATCCTATCGTACTCCATATGTCAGAATGAGCTTTGATCAAAACATTGGAAGTCAAAAACAGTGCAAGAGTGGTGCCGGGTAGTTGGAAATGAGAGTTGCATTATCACTCATTGGAATCCAAACACTCCCAAAAAAAGTCCACTTCTGAATGGTATAATAATAATCAACCAGAAACGAAGTATATGCAACTTTTTCATGCCTAAACTTATGTGTTAACAACCACCATACTTCATCCTGGTAACTTAAACAATGGCTTGTGCTTGAAGAAAGTAACCCGTTACATCGAATTCTTTGATGGAGAATCGCCACATTTCTTCAAGGTTATCCTTCCCTCTCCCCTGGCAGAGAAGAAGCTGGTAATTCACAACTTCTTTTTTTATTCTTTGCTGCACTGAGATTTTTGTCATTTCCATCAGTCATTGAGCCTTTTGTATGATCACAGGGATTCCAGAAATGTTTGTAAGAAGTTTGGGAATGAACTTGCTGATATTGCAACGCTGGAAGTTCCCAATGGTCGGTTTGGCTGGTGAACTGACAAAAGATGGGAGGAAAATTTGGTTTCAGGATGGTTGGGACGACTTTATTCAATATCTTCAATCTCTGTTGGATATTCTTGGTTTTCAAATATGTGAAGAATTCACATCTCCAGTGTTCTTATTTTCGATTCACTGCTTGCGAAATTCACTATCCATATAATGCAATGGAAGCTAACCCAGAATGCATGCTGCCAACTCAAAATTGAAGCCTAAAAACAGTGTAAAATGGTTAAAGGCAGAAATAAATGAATCAGATTATGAGAATGAACATAATTTTTAGCTTTACTTGAAGAAATGGGAATCTACATTACTATAAATGTAGTTTTCTCTCTAAAGAAGACAGACAGAGAGCAATCCCTCGCCAGATTGTGAGCCAAGAAATCCTTCTTTCATGGTTATTTTGCGATCTCATAAGATAACGACCCCGTTGGTAAGTTTTAGATAAAATGTTGCCTTAATCTTCTCATATCCACATTCATAATTTTTGCTTACAGTTAAGTCTTACAACAGACAAAAATTATAAAATTATGTAACTACCACTCTGACTTTGTTTTTTCCTGTTATATGACTTAGTTTACGCATAGCGTTGCTCGTCAACATATAATTAATGTCTCATTTGTTATATTTTGGCTTCTGCAATTGTGCCTATGAAATTTGTGGACAAGTTGATTTAGTAGAAACGTCAGATGGATTAAACTACAGGCTTCTGAGAGAGTTATGTGTGACGTCCAAATCAGGCAGGTGATTTGCGGAAGTTTTCTTTTAACGAAGGGATGGTGTGTTTTAAAAGAGGAGAACTTGAAGCAAGGAGATATCTGTGTCTTTGAGCTCATCAGATGAAGTCTTCATTCTGAAGCTTTCAGTATATCATGCAGCTGCAAAGTTAATATGAAAATGAAGATGAGATGTTTCTGTTGCCATGTTTAAGGAATTTAGAGCTCAAATATGTTCATAATCTTTTAAAAGAGTGTATTAAACGCAACATTGAGCCCTTCCCAATTTTGAATTATTCTCTGACCTAAATGGGTTTGGTTTTTGACTTAAAGTTCAGATCAAAGGATCCATATATAACCTGATAGAATTCAAAGTATAATTTGGGTTTCTTTTGAAACTTTCAGTATTATCTGCGTTGTAATCTGATATAAGAAGTGTAGACACTCATGCACAGCCTGTTGCCTTCAGCTAATGTATATAGCTACAAAAATCAGTGCCACAAAAGACAGAAGACCAATAAATTTTTTGCCCTTTTAGTGAATGGATGATGGTTTCTTATTTACTGTTAAAGCTTCCGTAATATTCTGCATTTTCTCAGAAGTTGATATACACTTGATACAACCTAGTATAAATCATAATCCCAAGAAGCTGAGTTACAAATTTCTGTAATACATAAGGCTCATTTTAATTAGGGGTTTTAAAAAAAGCAAAAACCGAACCAAACTAGTTTTCACGCGGTTTCAGTTCAAAGAATCAAAAAAAATCAATTTTCCGATTCGGTCACCGATTTACGAGAATATGAGCTGGTTAATCGAATCGCTGATATCGATTAACCAGCTCCATATTTTGATATCGCAACCTGGAAGTTCCAAGGTCGAGTTAGGTTAATTGGATTGACCAAATGGGACCAAAATTTGGTTTCGGGATGGTTGGCACGACTTTTAATATCATTCAATCTCTGTTGGATACATCTTGGTTTTCAAATATTTGAAGAACTCAACTTTCCAGGTTCTTATTTTTTATTCTATCTTGCGAGATTCACTACCCATATAGTGCAGTGAAGTCTAAGCCACAATGCAATGCGGACAACTCAATATCGAGCATGAAAACAAGTCTAAAATGGTTGAAAAGGCAGAGATAAATGAATCAGATTATGAGAATAAACGTAATTTTCTAGCTTTACTTAAAGAAATGGGAATCTACCTTCCTATTAAATGCAGATTTGTCTCAAAAAAAGACAGACACAGAGCAATCCACATCGCCAGATTGTTGAAGCCAAGAAATCCTTCATTCATGGTGTTTTTGCGATCTCATAGCACAACTGAACACCGTGTGGTGAGTTTGTAGATAAAATGTGGTTATGAATCTTCTCATATTGATGACATTCATATCTTCTAAGTTGCCATTCTTTTTCGGCTTCTGCAGAGTATGCCAGTGAAATTTGTGGACAAGTATTTATGTAGAAATTCCAGAACAATTAATCTACAGGTTCCTGATGGAAGGTGTTGTGTGTTAAAATCAAGAAGTCGACTCGTCGAGGCTTTCGTTTAACACAGGGATGGGTTAAATTTTCAAAAGAGGAGAATTTGACGCTTTTGAAAATTTAACCCAAGGTGATATCGATATCTTTGAGGGGAATTTTACCATAAAGATTGGTTGAGAACCTAATCTTATAAACTTTCTTCATACAACCCTGACATAGTAGTTCATAATTGGTCAACTCGTAATTAGATATGCAGGACTTATGGCAAGCAGACAGGACCCATTTGTGAACTAACCAATTGTGAGATTGTGAGAGCAAGTTTGTGCGATTGGATTATAAGTGTAGTATTGTCCGATTAAAGTTAATGCTAAAAAAGGCTCATAACCTTTCAAAATAATGAATTAGTTTGTTGTTGATGAGCAAACCCAATATCCAAAAACAATCTTGGTGTGCATGGTTTAAAAAATTGGAATATTGTAACTAATTTCCAAGTTGATGAAGGCATTGTGTTTGTAATTTACAAGTTGACAATTTTTGCTGAACCCACCGCTGGGCCCATAAAAAACCAGGCCTTGTCCAGCCTAACAATAAGCTGTACAACTTAGAGAGAAAAACCAAAAACAATCTCATTGTGCATGGTTTAAAAACCTCGAGTATTGTAACTAATTTTCAAGTTTTTTTTTTTTTTAATAATCAAAGTGTTCGGATCAGTTTACACGTAATTCAAAAAATTAGAGTATGGTTCACGAAACCAAACCAGAACCTAATCGGACCAAACCTACAAAAGTTGGAGGCTAAACTATTGTTTGGTACTTATCAACTGTCTATTTTCCTATAAATATTTAGGTTTCAAGAATAAAAAGTATCAAATCTTAATGGTTAACTATTTACTTTGTTATATAATGCAGCTCATGACATTCCTACCATAGATTATTTTACCTTCAGGATTTATTTATTTATTTATTATTATTTTTTTTTTAAAGGAAAACCCCGAGAAAATAATATAAAAATGCAGCCCGAGAATCCCCTCACAAGCTAACACCCTTGGACAAGCCCAAGGAAACCTAAACAAGGCCTTGGAAGAACAAAAGGATATACTATCCTTTACAAAAAGAGCCCAAAAAATTTCAAAAAGGAAAAGCCCTTAATAAACAAGAACTACAAAAACCAGCAAACAAAAAGATCAGCAGGCCCCAAAAAGGATAACCCTTTTTGCTGGACGCGACATCAGGCCCATAAAAAACCAGGCCTTGTCCAGCCTAACAATAAGCTGTACAACTTAGAAAGAAAAACCAGGGCCAAAAATCCTCTCACCAGCCCAGTCCACACAAATCCGAAGACAGCAGCAGCCTGAAACTCCCCCTGCCCAACTCGCAGCCGGGCCCTTTATCATGTGGAAGCCCCAAGATTTAATCCAGGCTCTTCCTTTGCAGCAGCCCACAAGCTCGCCTCCTGCCTTCAGCCCAAAAAGAACCCAATCCACCTCCTAAAAACCCAGTCCACTATCTTGTAAACCTTAACGAAGAAACTCCAGGCCCAAACCCCATTAACTAAAAAACCCACCCAGCAAAAAAAACCCAATTGTTCCTTCATGAACCCAAACCGAGCACAAACACCGTAACCGTCTAGCACTGGCACGGCCCACAAATTTTTTGCCCTGGCCCCTGGGCCATGTGGGCTGTGTCGTAGGCTTAGGATTTGACATGTGGGTTGATAAGAGACGGCCCATGAATTTAAAAAAATAAAAATTTTTAAATTTTTAAGAACAACCTGTACAATACATGGATCGACCCACAAAGGTACGACATGACACAGCTCACCGGGCCATGGGCCGTGCCGTGGGCTTTGAGTTTTAATTGTTTAGCAAAGCACGGCACGGCATAGCCCACCGCCACCTCTAACCAACACCCATTGGAGCCCAAACAGCCATCCCAGCAGACGTCCACATATTAAAAAAATTCTCCCATACTATACTGGAAACCATCAGAAGAATAATTCTTAAGGGTCTGCTTGAGAGTTTTTTTTTCATTGGTTTTGAGAGGTTTTTAATTAGACTGGTTTTGAGGTGTTTAAAAACCATTACTTGCCAGATTTTTTATGAACTGGTTTTGACTAGTTTAAAAACCCCCTAAAACAATGTAGTATATTTTTGAGGGGTTTATAAATCACCCCAAATCGGGGTGTTTTGACTGGTTTAAAAATTTTATCCCAAAAAACTCCTTTCCACTATTATTCATATACAATAATCCCTTTGCTGGTTTAAAAATTTCTTCAAACCCCATTCAATCTTCAACTTTTAGATCATTGTTACAATGCTTTAGAATCTTTTATCCTAGGCTTTCTAATCCTTCATTAGAGATATGAAGGTTTTTCTTTCTTTCTTCTTCATTTTCCCCTTCAACTTTTTGTTCTTTTAATCTAGTAAACTCTTTTGTAAGCTGTATACAATTTAATTGCATTTCTTTACTAGTTGTTTTACAAAATTAGGTGGTTTTTTTCTCTATTTGATTCTTTCTATTTGCGTTTAGGTGATTGATTAAATCCTTGTCAATTTGTTGAATAAATATTGTTTTTAATGGCTTTGCTTCACTGATTGAAGAAAAGAACAAAAAACTGTTTTTTAGAAATGCTGTTGCGGCTGTTAATTGTTATATTGATAATTTGCGAAGTCCAACATTGTGGCAGTATATTTATTCTTTTAAAATGATAGATTTTGAATGATTGTGTGATGAATTAAATAATATACAATGAAAGAACTTATAAATAAATTAAACTTGAAAGGAACTTTAATACTTAGTATTGGTAATTGAAAAAAACAAAACTCAAAAAATACTGATTGAAGTTTGGGTATTTTTATGGACATAAATGTAAATTTATCATTTTAAAAAACTATCAGAATCCCTAAAAAATAAACTCCCAAGTACAGGTTAGGTATTTTAAAAACCGTTACTAAAAACCCCTCAAAACTATTATAATTGTTTACCCTAAAAATCGTTATAATGGTTCACCCGCATAATTACTACCATAAAACTCTCAATCATACCTAAGAAAATTGCTCTCCTTTGATTGATCCCATTGTACCAGTCCACCCTCCGGAGAAAAACTTGGAGCGCTTGATTCCTACTGCCAAATAAAAAGAGTTTTTTGCCGTACCAGTGCCCGTTCTTACTGCCCCATTTGCCCAGTCAACAAACCTTCCCAAAATCCTACTCGTGCTGCAGTAAAATACACTTCACGGCTATACACCCCCAACAACAGCATAAAGTTCCACACCCTACTCATTTTGGTTTTTCTCAGAGAAAGTGGCGCCCAATAGAACCAACAAGAGGTTGCCTAAATTCTTCAGGGTCTTCACCCCAAGGCTCAGCTCTGCCGGTTTGGTACTTTCATCTTCCTTTCTGCTCTTATGATCTGTGTTTTTTTATTTTTTATTATTTATTTATTTCTTTTTGAAGTTCTTTTGGTTGGCACGATGAAATCCTCTATCTGCATTTCTTGGTCGATTAATGGGAGAAACTTTGAGAGAGAGGGAGAAAGCTTAAACCTTTCTCAGAGCTTGCATTTGAGTGAGCTTCATGTAATGTTGTTTTTAGCAAACAAACAGAATATACTTGGTTTTCCATGTCCATGTGAGTCCTGAACATAATGCAATAGCTTGTCAAAAATGGAAAGACCCTTTTCTCATTATCAAAAACCTGTCTTCGTACTCTCCTCATTTTCCCAGCACAAACACTTGCCAGTTTCCAATTTCTTTTGGAGTAAACGACTTTTTCCCGCCCAAGGTTTGTGTTAATGATACTTTCCTACCCAAAAAGTTTCAAAATACCACTTTTTCACCTAAAGTTTATATTATGTTAATACCCAAAAATACATTTCACTTTCTCAGCGAGTTACTAGGATTTTTGTAGGGTGGATCAAATGGTGGTAACTGATTGAATATTCGTTGTCGAAATAAGTCGAAAATCAACTAAGAACAAAAAACCTTAGCTTTGTGATGGCCGGAAATTGGTAAGAAATTAGGTGTCGGAGTGAGAGAGATTTTATAGAGAAGAGACCGAAGGTTCAAATGGTGGTTTAGGATTTAGGATTTAGGGGTTTTCGCTGTTGGAATCGGCTTTGGGTAAAAACTGAATATTTAACCTTGGGTGGGAAAAAGTCGTTTACTCTTTCTTTTGTAATATTTGTTTTAAAGTGAACAGATATTGTTTGTCTCAAACAAATGATTATTTAATCTCCAACATTAATCTATTAGATGATATTGTTCACTGCTTTTAAAATCAAAAGATCAAATCAGTATCTATCAGACATGAGAGAAACGACAGAAATAACCCATGAGCCTGAGATTTTATTTTGTTGTGGAGGGAATTTGATTCTCGTTTAAAGCTCTTTATTATTTCTACTCCATATATCAATATGAGCTTTGATTCAAACATTGGAAGTCTAAACACAGTGAGAGTTGGTGCCTGGAAAGTTGGAAATGAGAGTTGCATTGGAACTCTAAACATCTGAAGGGTATATGAAACGATCAACCAGAAAACAAAGTTTATGCAGCACATATAAATTCTGAAGCCTGAACCTATATATCATTATCAACCACCACCATAGCTTCATCTCTGGCAACTAAACAATGGCTTGCACTAGAAGGAAAGGCGAACCCGTTACATCAAATTCTTTTACGGAGAAATCGTCACATTTCTTCAAGGTTATCCTTCCCTCTTCCTTGGAAGAGAAGAAGCTGGTAAGCTGCAGGGATTATTGACTATGTCGATCAGTTTGCCTATCTGTGCAGGGATTAAATAGATCAGCTGACCCTTTTTGTATGATCGCAGGAGATTCCGCAAATGTTCGTGAAGAAGTTTGGGAATGAACTTTCTGATATCGCAACACTGGAAGTTCCCAATGGTCGAGTTTGGTTAATCGGATTGACCAAAGATGGGACCAAAATTTGGTTTCGGGATGGTTGGCACGACTTTGTTCAGTATCATTCAATCTCTGTTGGATACTTCTTGGTTTTCAAATATCTGAAGAACTCAACTTTCCAGGTTCTTATTTTTGATTCTACTGCTTGCGAGATTCACTACCCATATAATGCAGTGAAGTCTAAGCCACAATGCAATGTGGACAACCCAAAATCGAAGCATGAAAACAAGTCTAAAATGGTTGAAAAGGCAGAGATAAATGAATCAGATTATGAGAATAAACGTAATTTTCTAGCTTTACTTAAAGAAATGGGAATCTACCTTCCTATTAAATGCAGATTTGTCTCAAAAAAAGACAGACACAGAGCAATCCACATCGCCAGATTGTTGAAGCCAAGAAATCCTTCATTCATGGTGTTTTTGCGATCTCATAGCACAACTGAACACCGTGTGGTGAGTTTGTAGATAAAATGTGGTTATGAATCTTCTCATATTGATGACATTCATATCTTCTAAGTTGCCATTCTTTTTTGGATTCTGCAGAGTGTGCCAGTGAAATTTGTGGACAAGTATTTATGTAGAAATTCCAGAACCATTAATCTACAGGTTCCTGATGGAAGAGTGCTGTGTGTTAAAATCAAGAAGTCGACTCGTGGAGGCTTTCGTTTACAACAGGGATGGATTAAATTTTCAAGAGAGGAGAATTTGAAACAAGGAGATATCGGTATCTTTGAGTTGATCAAGATGAAAGACTTCATTCTGAAACTTTCAGTATACCCTGCAACTGCAAGGTTCACTGACAACCTAATCTTACAAACTTTCTCTTACAACTCCGATATAGTAGCTCAATCAACTCGTAATTAGATATGCGGGACTTATAGCGAGCAGACGGGACCTATTTGCGACCTAACCAATTATAGGATTGTGAGAGAAAATTTGTGAGATTAGGTTGTACGTGTAGTATTGCCCGATTAAAGTTAATGGTAAAAAAAGGCTCATAACCTTTCAAAATAACGGATTAGATAGCAACATTGTATTGATTTTGCCTATTATATATGGAAAAAAGTTTGTTGTTGACAATTTATGCCATTTGTGAGGAATTGAGCAAACCCAATATCCAAAAACAATCTCAGCGTAAATGGTTTAAAAAACTCGAGTATTGTAACTAATTTCCAAATTTTTTTTTTTAATAACCAAAGCGTTTGTATCAGTTTGGACACATCTCAAAAACGTCTGTATCGTTTGGACACATCTCAAAAACTTAAGAGTATGGATCAGCAAGCCAAACCGGAGCCTAATTGGACTTTGTGTTTGTAATTTCCAAGTTGATGAAGGCATTGTGTTTGTAATTTCCAAGTTGACAATTTTCGCTGAACCCACCGCCAGGCCCATAAAAAACCAGGCCTTGTCCAGCCTAACAATAAGCTTTACAACTTAGAAAGAAAAACAAGGGCCCAAAAATCCTCTCACCAGCCCACCTCTCTTTTTGTCTCTCTTTCTTCATCAAAATAACCTCTTTCTTACAGCTCCTAGCCCACGCATAATTTTTCAGCCATCTCTGATATCTGTTACGCAGACTTGCAGCCATCTCTCCAGTCGGCAGTCGCCCATTTCGCCACTTCTCCTTCACGCAGCCATCCTGCACGCCGACGCCCAGCCATTTCTCTCAATCACAAAAGTTCGAGTTCTCTTGCTGCCATCTCTGATCTCTCTCACGCAGCCACCTCTTCAGGTGGGAACCCCAAAACCAGAACCCTCACGCCCAATCTAAAACCTGCAAAACCCAATATTTGACACCAAACCAAAATTTACGGCAGTGAGTTCTAGGGTTTTGTTTGGACATCCATGTAAAAGTTATCATTTTACAAACTATCAGAATCCCTAAAAAATAAACTCCCAAGTACAGGTTAGGTTATTTTAAAACCTTTACTAAAAACCCCTCAAACTATATAATTGTTTACCCTAAAAATCGTTATAATGGTTCACCCGCATAATTACTACCATAAAACTCTCATCATACCTAAAAATTGCTCTCCTTTGATTGATCCCATTGTACCAGTCCACCCCTAGAAAAACTTGGAGCGCTTGATTCCTACTGCCAATAAAAAGAGTTTTTTGCCGTACCAGTGCCCGTTCTTACTGCCCCATTTCCGCCAGTCAACAAACCTTCACAAATCCTACTCGTGCTGCAGTAAATACACTTCACGGCTATACACCCCCAACAACAGCATAAAGTCCACACCCTACTCATTTTGGTTTTTTCTCAGGAAGTGGCGCCCAATAGAACCACAAGAGGTTGCCTAAATTCTTCAGGTCTTCACCCAAGGCTCAGCTCTGCCGTTTGGTACTTTCATCTTCCTTTTCTGCTCTTGAGTGTGTTTTTTTATTTTTTATTATTTATTTATTTCTTTTGAGTTCTTTTGGTTGGCACGATGAAATCCTCTATCTGCATTTCTTGGTCGATTAATGGAGAAACTTTGAGAGAGAGGGGAAAGCTTAAACCTTTCTCAGAGCTTGCATTTGAGATGAGCTTCATGTAATGTTGTTTTTAGCAACAAACAGAATATACTTGGTTTTCCATGTCCTGTGAGTCCTGAACATAATGCAATAGCTTGTCAAAAATGGAAGACCCTTTTCTCATTACAAAAACCTGTCTTCGACCTCTCCTCATTTTCCAGCACAAACACTTGCCAGTTTCAATTTCTTTTGGAGTAACGACTTTTTCCCGCCCAGGTTTGTGTTATGCATCTTCCTACCCAAAAGTTTCAAAATACCACTTTTCACCTAAGTTTATATATTTTAATACCCAAAAATACTTCACTTTCTCATCGAGTTACTAGGATTTTTGTAGGGTGGATCAAATGGTGGTAACTGATTGAATATTCTTTGTCGAATAAGTCGAAATCAACTAAGAACAAAACCTTAGCTTTGTGATGGCCGAAATTGGTAAGATTAGTGTCGGAGTGAAGAGATTTATAGAGAAGAGACCGAAGGTTCAAATGTGGTTTAGGATTTAGGTTTAGGGGTTTTCGCTGTTGGAATCGGCTTTGGGTAAAAACTGAATATTAACCTTGGTGGAAAGTCGTTTACTCTTTCTTTTGTAATATTTGTTTTAAAGTGAACAGATATTGTTTGTCTCAAACAAATGATTATTTAATCTCCAACATTAATCTATTAGATGATAGGTTCACTGCCTTTTAAAATCAAAAGATCGATCCAAACTCCAGGCCCAAACCCCATTAACTAAAAAACCCACCCAGCAAAAAACACCCAATTGTTCCTTCATGAACCCGAACCGAGCATAAACACCGTAACCATCCAGCACTGGCACGGCCCACAAATTTTTTGCCCTGGCCCCTGGGCCATGTGGGCTGTGTCGTAGGCTTAGGATTTGACATGTGGGTTGATAAGACACGGCCCATGAATTTAAAAAATAATTTTTTTAAAATTTTTAAGAACAACCTATACAATACATGGATCGACCCACGAAGGTACGACATGACACAGCTCACCGGGCCATGGGCCGTGTCGTAGGCTTTGAGTTTTGATTGTTTAGCAAAGCACGGCACGGCATAGCCCACCGCCATCTCTAACCAACACCCATTGGAGCCCAAACAACCATCCGAGCAGACGTCCCCATATTAAAAAAATTCTCCCATACTATACTGGAAACCATCAGAAGAATAATTCTTAAGGGTCAACTTGGGAGTTTTTTTTTCACTGGTTTTGAGGTGTTTAAAAACCATTACTTGCCAGATTTTTTTATGAACTGGTTTTGACTGGTTTAAAAACCCCCTGAAACCAGTATAGTATATTTTTGAGGGGTTTATAAAACACCCCAAATCAGAGTGTTTTGGCTGGTTTAAAAATTTTATCCCCAAAAAAACCCATTTCCTCTGTTATTGATATACAATAATCCCTTTGCTGGTTTAAAAATTTCTTCAAACCCCATTCAATCTTCAACTTTTAGATCATTGTTACAATGCTTCTGAATCTTTTATCCTCGGCTTTCTAATCCTTCATTAGAGATATGAAGGTTTTTCTTTCTTTCTTCTTCATTTTCCCCTTCAACTTTTTGTTCTTTTAATCTAGTAAACTCCTTTGCAAGCTGTATATAATTTAATTGCATTTCTTTACCAGTTGTTTTACAAAATTAAGTGGTTTTTCTTCTATTTGATTCTTTCTATTTGCGTTTAGGCAATTGATTGAATCCTTGTCAGTTTGTTGAATAAATATTGTTTTTGATGGCTTTGCTTCACTGATTGAAGAAAAGAACAAAAAACTATTTTTTAGAAATGCTGTTGCGGCTATTATATTGATAATTTGCGAAGTCCAATATTGTGGCAGTATATTTATTCTCTTAAAATGATATATTTCGAATGATTGTGTGATAAATTAAATAATATACAATGAAAGAACTTACAATTAAATTAAACTTGAAAGGAATTTTAATGTTAAGCATTGGTAATTAAAAAAAAAAAAAAAACTAAAAAAATACTGGTTGAAATTTGAGTATTTTTATGAATATATACATAAATTTATTTTTAAAAAACTATCAAAACCGTTTAAAAAAAAAAAATAAAAACATTACTAAAAACGTTCAAAACGATTACATTAATTTACCCTTAAAACGTTGCAAGGATTGACCCTCAAAACTGCTACCAATAAAACCATAGCCTAAGAAAAATTGCTCTCCTTGGTTGATCCCATTGTGCCAGTCACACCTCTGGAGAAAAACTTTGGACCGCTTGATTCCTACTGCCAAATAAAAAGAGTTTTTGGCCGTACACTGCCCGTTATTACTGCCCCATTTGCCCAGTCAACAACCCTCCCAAAGATCCTACTCGTGCTGCAGTAAAAATACCACCTTCACGGCATTACACCCCCAGCAAACAAACATAAGGCTCCACCCTACTCATTTTGGTTTTTCTCATTCTGAAACACAGAGAAAGTGGCGCCAAATAGAACCAACAAGAGGTTGCCTAAATTCTCAGGGTCTTCATCCCAAGGCTCAGCTCTGCCGGTTTGGTACTTTCACTTCCTTTCTGTTTATGATCTGTGTTTTTTTTTATTTTTTTATTTATTTTTGAAGTTCTTTGGTTGGCACGATGAAATCCTCTCTCTGCATTTCTGGTCGATTAATGGGAGAAACTTTGAGAGAGAGGGAGAAAGCTTAAACCTTTCTCAGAGCCTGCTTTGAGAGAGCTTCATGTAATGTGGTTTTTAGCAAACAAACAGAATATACTTGGTTTTCCATGTCCATGTGAGTCCTGAACATAATGCAATAGCTTGTCAAAAATGGAAAAAGACCCTTTTCTCATTATCAAAAACCTGTCTTCGCACTCTCCTCATTTCCAGCACAAACACTTGCCAGTTTCCAATTTCTTTGGAAGTAAACGACTTTTTCCCACCCAGGGTTTGTGTTAATGACACTTTCCTACCCAAAGTTTCACAAATACCATTTTTTCACTAAAGTTTATATTATGTTAATACCCAAAAACATTTCACTTTCTCAGCCGATGTTTGGCGAGTTACTAGGACTGTTTGTAGGGTGGATCCAATGGTGGTAAACAATTGAAATATTATTGTCGAAATAAGTCGGAAATCAGTTAAGAACAAGAAACCTTAGCTTTGCGGTGGCCGGAAATTGGTAAGAAATTAGGTGCCGGAGAGGGGTTTTATAGAGAAGAGACCGGAGGTTCAAATGATGGTTTAGGGTTTAGGGGTTTGCCATCAGAGTCGGCTTTGGGTAAAAACTGAATATTTAACCTTGGGTGGGAAAAAGTCGTTTACTCTTTCTTTTGTAATATTTGTTTAAAGTGAACAGATATTTTTTGTCTCAAACAAATGATTAGAGTTATTTAATCCCAGCATTAATCTATTAGATGATATCGTTCACTGCTTTTAAAATCGAAAGATCAAATCAGTATCTATCAGACATGAGAGAAACGACAGAAATAGCCATGAGCCTGGAGATTTTATTTTGTTGTGGAGGGAATTTGATTCTCATTTAAAGCTCTTTATTATTTCACTTCATATACAATATGAGCTTTGATTCAAACATTGGAAGTCTAAACACAGTGACAGTTGGTGCCTGGAAAGTTGGAAATGAGAGTTGCATTGGAGCTCTAAACATCTGAAGGGGATATGAAACGATCAACCAGAAACACAAAGTTTATGCAGCACATATAAAATTATGAAGCCTGAACCTATGTATCATTATCAACCACCACCATAGCTTCATCTCTGGCAACTAAACAATGGCTTGCACTAGAAGGAAAGGCGAACCCGTTACATCAAATTCTTTTATGGAGAAATCGTCACATTTCTTCAAGGTTATCCTTCCCTCTTCCTTGGAAGAGAAGAAGCTGGTAAGCTGTAGGGATTATTGACTATGTCGATCAGTTTGCCTATCTGTGCAGGGATTAAATGGATCAGCTGACCCTTTTTGTATGATTGCAGGAGATTCCGCAAATGTTCGTGAAGAAGTTTGGGAATGAACTTTCTGACATCGCAACACTGGAAGTTCCCAATGGTCGAGTTTGGTTAATTGGATTGACCAAGGATGGGACCAAAATTTGGTTTCGGGATGGTTGGCACGACTTTGTTCAGTATCATTCAATCTCTGTTGGATACTTCTTGGTTTTCAAATATCTGAAGAACTCAACTTTCCAGGTTCTTATTTTTGATTCTACTGCTTGCGAGATTCACTACCCATATAATGCAGTGAAGTCTAAGCTACAATGCAATGCGGACAACTCAAAATCGAAGCATGAAAACAAGTCTAAAATGGTTGAAAAGGCAGAGATAAATGAATCAGATTATGAGAATAAACGTAATTTTCTAGCTTTACTTAAAGAAATGGGAATCTACCTTCCTATTAAATGTAGATTTGTCTCAAAAAAAGACAGACACAGAGCAATCCACATCGCCAGATTGTTGAAGCCAAGAAATCCTTCATTCATGGTGTTTTTGCGGTCTCATAGCACAATTGAACACCGTGTGGTGAGTTTGTAGATAAAATTTGGTTATGAATCTTCTCATATTGATGACATTCATATCTTCTAACTTGCCATTCTTTTTTGGATTCTGCAGAGTGTGCCAGTGAAATTTTTGGATAAGTATTTATGTAGAAATTCAAGAACTATTAATCTACAGGTTCCTGATGGAAGAGTGCTGTGTGTTAAAATTAAGAAGTCGACTCGTGGAGGCTTTCGTTTACAACAGGGATGGATTAAATTTTCTAGAGAGGAGAATTTGAAGCAAGGAGATATCGGTATCTTTGAGTTGATCAAGATGAAAGACTTCATTCTGAAACTTTCAGTATACCCTGCAACTGCAAAGTTCACTGACAACCTAATCTTATAAACTTTCTCGTACAACTCCGATATAGTAGCTCAGTCAACTCGTAATTAGACATGCGAGACTTATAGCGAGCAGACGGGACCTATTTGTGACCTAACCAATTGCAGGATTGTAAGAGAAAATTTGTAAGATTAGGTTGTACGTGTAGTATTGCCCGATTAAAGTTAATGGTAAAAAAGGCTCGTAATCTTTCAAAATAATGAATTAGATAGCAACATTGTATTGATTTTGCCTATTATATATGGAAAAAAGTTTGTTGTTGACAATTTATGCCATTTGTGAGGAATTGAGCAAACCCAATATCCAAAAACAATCTCAGCATGTATGGTTTAAAAAACTCGAGTATTGTAACTAATTTCCAAGTTTTTTTTAATAACCAAAGTGTCCGAATCAGTTTGGACGTATCTCAAAAAATTAGAGTGTGGTTCATCAAGCCAAACCAGAACCTAATTGGACTTTGTGTTTGTAATTTCCAGGTTGACAATTTTTGCTGAACCCACCGCCAGGCCCATAAAAAACCAGGCCTTGTCCAGCCTGACAATAAGCTGTACAACTTTGAAAGAAAAACAAGGGCCCAAAAATCCTCTCACCAGCCCACCTCTCTTTTTCTCTCTCTTTCTTCATCAAAATAACCTCTTTCTTACAGCTCCTAGGCCCTAGCCCACGCACAATTTTTCAGCCATCTCTCACGCTGCCGTCTCTGGTCTCTGTCACGCAGACTTGCAGCCATCTCTCCAGTCGGCAGTCGCCCATTTCGCCATTTCTCCTTCACGCAGCCATCCTGCACGCCGACGCCCAGCCATTTCTCCCAATCACAAAAGTTCGAGTTCTCTTGCTGCCATCTCTGATCTCTCTCACGCAGCCACCTCTTCAGGTGGTAACCCCAAAACCAGAACCCTCACGCCGAATCTAAAACCTGTAAAACCCAATATTTGACACCAAACCAAAATTTACGGCAGTGAGTTCTAAGGTTTTGTTTCGGTTAGTTCAATTTTGTTTACTGAAATGTGGGAGACCATTCAGAATTGGATGAGTTTTACTATTATCGCTTGTGGGATGCTTTTATTTTTTGTTGATTTGAAGTTTTTTCTTATCGTTTATGTATCTCTGTTGCCCATTTAGTAACAATTTATTAAATTATTGTATATTTTAGTTGGTCTTGTTTAATTAATGTTTATGCTGCTAAATTTGATACATTGAGAAAAAACAAAAATCATTTTTTGCGGGTGACCCGTATTTACCCGGTCCGTGCCCGCCCGTTTGCCAGGTCTACCCCCAACAACAAACACAAAGTTCCACACTCTACTCATTTTGGTTTTTCTCATTCTGAAACACAGAGAAATGGCGCCCAACAGAACCAACAAGAGCTTGCCTAAATTCTTCAAGTTCTTCAACCCAAGGCTCGGCTCTGCCAGTTCGGTATTTTCATCTTCCTTTCTGCTCTTATGATCCGTAGTTTTTTTTTTTTTTTTTATTTTATTTATTTATTTCTTTTTGAAGTTCTTTTGGTTGGCACGATGAAATCCTCTCTCTGCATTTCTTGGTCGATTAATGGGAGAAACTTTGAGAGAGAGGGAGAAAGCTTAAACCTTTCTCAGAGTTTGCTTTTGAGAGAGCTTCATGTACTGTTGTTTTTAGCAAACAAACTGAATATATTTGGTTTTCCATGTCCATGTGAGTCCTGTACATAAGTTTAGTTTCTTTTTCTCTTTGTTGTGATTTTCTGGAAAATTATTTGGGTTTGAAGCTAGTTTGATGTTTGTTCACTTTGGGCAGAATTTGTTCGGTTCATAAAATAGTATATATAACTCATTTAATATTCTTTTATGATTTGGGATTCATTAGATTTTCATTCTACAATATTATTTGATGTCAATTAATTGTTTCATTTACATATATGCACAAATTAGTATGTGAAAGAGTAAAATTACTGAAGAAACAGATTTTAACAGTTTTCAATCGTCTTTTACATGTTATGATTGAAATTTAATGATGCAATTGATTTCTTCTGTAGGAAATCCCGGATGCTTGGGTACAACACTTGAATGCATTACCAAAGAATGTGGTACTTCAGAATCGAATCGGAAAAGTGTGGCGTATGAAAATGGAATATGCTGACAATAGGGTATATTTTGCAAATGGTTGGCAACAGTTTGTAAAAGACAATTCTTTAGTGTTTGGAGATTGTTTAGTTTTTCAATACAATGGTGACAATGGATTTAATGTTAAAATATTGGGGAAATCTGGCTGTGAGAGGAATGAAACTGGTCCTCATGTGGGCATTGATATAGAGGAGGAGGAAGAAGAGGAGGAGCACAAAATTGCTGATGCAGGTACTGATTTTGATGATGGTCACGGTAGTGACAGTGAATATAATGTTGAAGAAGAGGAGGAGGAGGAGGAAATGGAAGAAGAAGCACCAGAAGGAACAGCTACATTGAAGCAGAGAGGCAAAAGGATTTGTGAAAATGATGGTAAACATCAAGTATTTTTTTTTTTTTTTTTTTCATTTCAAAATAATTCTATGTGTATGTGTGAATGCCCTAGAGATATGTAATAGGATTTGTGCGAGATAAATGTAACCCATTGTTAATTTGATTCAGGAGAAGGATCCAAGAAAAGTGCCGGTGTTAGGGCAAGAACTTCTCGAGAACTTGACAATGTTTTGACCAGAGATGAAGTGAGAAAATATGTTCATCGTCAAAATCCCTACTTTGTGTCAAAGCAAAAACAAACTAGGAAAAGCCTACTGGTAACGAGCTAAAATCATCTATTACTAAAATACCTGATCTGCTTAGTATAGTCAATAAGTGTTGGTGAGATTTGCATTAGCCGTTAATTTCACTGTTTATCAGTTAAACTAATCTGTGAAATGCTAATTCTTTCAATTTGTTAGGATTTATGGTACTCTCTGCTTGACATGGAGGCCGAATTCTCTTTTGTTTTAATTCATAATAGGAAAAGTTGCTGGCATTATAATGATTTCTTGCACCATTTATAAACCCCATGTAAATGACTTCATTTGGCTTGAATTTATGGGGTCAAGCCATGATTGTTATTTTGCTTATTAAACAATATATATAGTTGCTAATGGTAGAGTTTTCTATTCAATATTGCAGTTGGTTCCATCTTATGTCTTGAGAGATTTTAGAATTAAATTAGCTGAAGATGTAACCTTTCATGATGAGCTGGAGAGGGAATGGTCTGGAAAGGTTTTTCGCTGGAAGGATGGTCGAACCTTGATTACAGGATGGGGCTCAGTCTGCCGGTGGAACCATGTGGAAAAAGACGATCTTTGCATATGTGAATTTCCGGAAGCAGGTGGGACAAAGAATAAAATTTTGGTGCATATTAAACGAAGTGATGGTTCACAGAGCCAACCCACTAACCAAGAACCAAATCAGGCTGACCAGTGAAGTAGGGGGCTACAGTTTTGTTTAAGTTTCCACATCAAACTCTGCTAATGTTTTATATAAATTTTATGCTTTCAAGAACAAGATGTGTTATGAAATGATGAACAATATTTAGAATTTTTCTGTAGGTCACTGTTGTCAAGGGTTGGGTTGGGTACAAATTAGTTTGAAATAGGATCTTGTCGAATTGCAGTATTATGGAGTTTCTGCAACTATTTACTTTGTTATACAAGAAGCTTATGACTTCCCTCATATTGATGATTTGCCCTTTCAGGTTTTATTTCATTCAAATAGACCAATTTCTAGGCTTTTGGGTTCTGAGCCCCGTTTTCCAGAACAGTTATTTCTGTGCTTGTAATAAATATCATTTTTCTTTTCTATTTTGTTCAAGTATCTCCAGCTTCTTATATTTTCTCCTGCAGATGGTAAGCTTTCTAAAATTCATATATTTTGTGAAATTGAGAAGAAAATGATTATGCAACACTTCCTCTTCTACTTCTGGGCTTGCATAAGTTCTGCTGGCCGAATGGCAAAATCTAAAATGGCCATGTTGATAACTAATCTGATACTATTTGCTCTTTATATTATTTCAACCCTAGGCCAGCTGTTACATCAACTTGAGGTGAAAGAAATCATACAAAGCATGAAAAAGAAAATACAATAAGCAAGGAGCATATAATATACAAACAATACTGAGCAAGACAGCAGCAGCCAGAAATTCTCCCTGCCCAACTCGCAGCCGGGCCCTTTATCATGTAGAAGCCCAAAGATTTAATCCAATCTCTTCCTGTGCAGCAGCCCACAAGCTCGCCTCCTGCCGTCAGCCCAAACAGAACCCAATCCAACCCCTTATAAACCCAGTCCACCATCTCTGTAAACTTAACGAAGAAACTCCAGGCCCAAACCCCATTAACTAAAAATGTCCACCCAGCAAAAAAAAAAACCCAACTGGAACAAAAGTAGGGTACTCAAACATCCATCCGAGCAGACGTCCCCACAGTAAAAAATTTCTCCCATCACTATACTGAAAACCATAGGAAGAATAATTCTTAAGAAAATTGCTTTACCTTTTATTGATCCCATTGTACCAGTCCACCCTCTGGAGAAAAACTTGGACCGCCCGATTCCTACTGCCAAATAAAAAGAGTTTTTTGTCGTAGCACTGCCCGTTCTTACTGCCTCATTTGCCCAGTCAACAACCGTTCCCAAAATGCTACTCACGCTGCTGTTACTCCATTCTAAAGCTGCTGTAAAGTACCACACTTCACGCCTATACACCCCCAACTAGACCTGGCAAACTCCACCTCTCTTTTTCTCTCTCTTTCTTCGTCAAAATAACTTCTTTCTTACAGCTCCTAGCCCACACACAATTTTTCAGCCATCTCTGATCTCTGTCACGCAGACTCGCAGCCATCTATCCAGTCGGCAGTCGCCCATTTCGCCATTTCTCCTTCACGCAGCCATCCTGCACGCCGACGCCCAGCCATTTCTCTCAATCACAAAATTTTGAGTTCTCTTGCTGCCATCTCTGATCTCTCTCACGCAGCTACCTCTTCAGGTAGGAACCCCAAAACCAGAACCCTCACCCCAATCTAAAACCTGCAAAACCCAAAATTTACGGCAGTGAGTTCGAGGGTTTTGTTTCGTTTAGTTCAATTTTGTTTACTGAAATGTGGGAGACCATTCAGAATTGGATGAGTTTTACTATTATCGCTTGTGGGATGCTTTTATTATTTGTTGATTTGAAGTTTTTTCTTATCGTTTATGTATATCTATTGCTCGTTTAGTAACAATTTATTAAATTATTGTATATTTTAGTTGGTCTTGTTTAATTAATGTTCCACACCCTACTCATTTTGGTTTTTCTCATTCTGAAACACAGAAAAAATGGCGCCCAACAGAACCAGCAAGAGCTTGCCTAAATTCTTCAAGGTCTTCAACCCAAGGCGGCGCGGCTCTGCCAGTTTGGTATTTTCATCTTCCTTTCTGCTCTTATGATCTGTAGTTTTTTTTAGTTTATTTATTTATTTCTTTTTGAAGTTCTTTTGGTTGGCACGATGAAATCCTCTCTCTACATTTCTTGGTCGATTAATGGGAGAAACATTGAGAGAGAGGGAGAAAGCTTAAACCTTTCTCAGAGCTTGCTTTTGAGAAAGCTTCATGTACTGTTGTTTTTAGCAAACAAACAGAATATATTTGGTTTTCCATGTCCATGTGAGTCCTGTACATAAGATTTGTTTCTTTTTCTCTTTGTTGTGATTTTCTGGAAAATTATTTGTGTTTGAAGCTAGTTTGATGTTTGTTCACTTTGGGCAGAATTTGTTCGGTTCATAAAATATATATATATATAACTCATTTAATATTCTTTTATGATTTGGGATTCATTAAATTTTCATTCTACAACATTATTTGATGTTAATTAATCGTTTCATTTACATATATGCACAAATTAGTATGTGAAAGAGTAAAATTACTGAAGAAACAGATTTTAACAGTTTTCAATCCTCTTTTACATGTTATGATTGAAATTTAATGACGCAATCGATTTCTTCTGTAGAAAATCCCGGATGCTTGGGTACAACACTTGAATGCATTACCAAAGAATGTTGTACTTCAGAATCAAATCGGAAAAGTTTGGCATATGAAAATGGAATATGCTGACAATAGGTTATATTTTGCAAATGGTTGGCAACAGTTTGTGAAAGACAATTCTTTAGTGTATGGAGATTTTTTAGTTTTTCAATACAATGGTGATGATGGATTTAATGTTAAAATATGGGGGAAATCTGGCTGTGAGAAGAATGAAACTGGTCCTCATGCGGGCATTGATATAGAGGAGGAGGAAGAAGAGGAGGAGCACGAAATTATTGATGTAGGTACTGATTTTGATGATGGTCATGGTAGTGACAGTGAATATAATGTTGAAGAAGAGGAGGAGCAGGAGGAAATGGATGAAGAAGCATCAGAAGGAACAGTTACATTGAAGCAGAGAGGCAAAAGGATTTGTGAAAATGATGGTAAACATCAAGTATTTTTTTTTTTTTTTTTTTCATTTCAAAATAATTCTATGTGTATGTGTGAATGCCCTAGAGATATGTAATAGGATTTGTGCGAGATAAATGTAACCCATTGTTAATTTGATTCAGGGGAAGGATCCAAGAAAAGTGCCGGTGTTAGGGCAAGAACTTCTCGAGAACTTGACAATGTTTTGACCAGAGATGAAGTGAGAAAATATGTTCATCGTCAAAATCCCTACTTTGTGTCAAAGCAAAAACAAACTAGGAAAAGCCTACTGGTAACGAGCTAAAATCATCTATTACTAAAATACCTGATCTGCTTAGTATAGTCAATAAGTGTTGGTGAGATTTGCATTAGCCGTTAATTTCACTGTTTATCAGTTAAACTAATCTGTGAAATGCTAATTCTTTCAATTTGTTAGGATTTATGGTACTCTCTGCTTGACATGGAGGCCGAATTCTCTTTTGTTTTAATTCATAATAGGAAAAGTTGCTGGCATTATAATGATTTCTTGCACCATTTAGAAACCCCATGTAAATGACTTCATTTGGCTTGAATTTATGGGGTCAAGCCATGATTGTTATTTTGCTTATTAAACAATATATATAGTTGCTAATGGTAGAGTTTTCTATTCAATATTGCAGTTGGTTCCATCTTATGTCTTGAGAGATTTTAGAATTAAATTAGCTGAAGATGTAACCTTTCATGATGAGCTGGAGAGGGAATGGCCTGGAAAGGTTATGCGCTGGAAGGATGGTCGAACCTGGATTACAGGATGGGGCTCAGTCTGCCGGTGGAACGATGTGGAAAAAGATGATCTTTGCATATGTGAATTTCCGGAAGCAGGTGGGACAAAGAATAATATTTTGGTGCATATTAAACGAGGTGATGGTTCACAGAGCCAACCCACCAACCAAGAACCAAATCAGGCTGACCAGTGAAGTAGGGGGCTACTGTTTTGTTTAAGTTTCCACATCAAACTCTGCTAATGTTTTATATAAATATTATGCTTTCAAGAACAAGATGTGTTATGAAATGATGAACAATATTTAGAATTTTTCTGTAGGTCTCTGTTGTCAAGGGTTGGGTTGGGTACAAGTTAGTTCGAAATAGGGTCTTGTCGAATTGCAGTATTATGGAGTTTCTACAACTATTTACTTTGTTATACAAGAAGCTTATGACTTCCCTCATATTGATGATTTGACCTATCAGGTTTTATTTCATCCAAATAGACCAATTTCTAGGCTTTTGTGTTCTGAGCCCCCTTTTCCAGAACAGTTATTTCTGTGCTTGTAATAGATATCATTTTCTTTTCTATTTTGTTCAAGTATTTCCAGCTTCTTACATTTTCTCCTGCAGATGGTAAGCTGTCTAAAGTTCATTTATTTTGTGAAATTGAGAAGAAAATGATTATGCAACACTTCCTCTTCTACTTCTGGGCTTGCATAAGTTCTGCTGGCCAAATGGCAAAATCTAAAATGGCCATGTTGATTACTAATCTGATACTATTTGCTCTTTATATTATTTTCCTTTTAAAAAAAAAAAAAAAAAAAAAAATAGAAAAGAAAAAAAAAATTATTTCAAGGGTCCTGATTGGTTCATCAAGGACTGGGGCCTGAAGATGATAATATAAAGGTGGCTCAAACTGGTGGCGGTCTTTATTTGCAAGTTCTGTGTCTCATTTTTCTTGGCTAACATTAAAAGTTACTGAATTATCTATTCTACTTGTGAACCAACCATCCTCTCCCCACCTTATCCTATCTTTTCCATACAAATCTTCATTTCCTTCACTTCCAATCGTCTTTGTAATTCCACCCACATAAACAAGAATCACAAAACCACCAACAAAATCAGGTAACCCAACCTCTCTAATCTCTGCTACTACTGCTAACAAAGCATAAACTTATAGTACTTTTCTCACAATCTTCTTCCATTTTTCTTTGTTCTTTTTCAGGTAGTGGGTGAAGATCAACAATGGCAGCAGCCTCAGCTACACTCTCTTCATCAACGTTTGTTGCTGCCACAGTGGCAGGCTCCAGTAGGAGAAGAAGAAGCATGAATGTGAGTTACATAACAGGGCTGAACTCATTTGGTGGGCTAAAAGCACACAACAATGTGGCCTCACTAGGCTTGCCAGTATGCACTGAGCAAAGTTTTGCTAAGATTGTGAGCTCATTGAGAGCTCCTGGAAAAGGCAAAGGAAGAAGTGGGGGTGCCTTGTCTTCAACATGCGATGCAGCCAGTGAGATCTTCAGGATTGCAGCAATCATGAATGGCCTTGTGCTTGTTGGAGTTGCAGTCGGGTTTGTTCTTCTCCGAATTGAAGCATCTGTGGAGGAGGCTGAGTGAGCATTGAAGCCAAAAAAAAAAAGTTTGATTTTATGTGTTCTTTTTCATCAAGCTTGTATCTTTACAAATCTCATCATTTGATGTAGAACTTGATTGTTTTGCATACATAAACCAAACTCATAAGCTGAGTTCTCAATTATTTTCACACCAATGTATTACACGTCGTAAATACATTCAAAGGGCAGCTGACAAGTCGTTTATGTTGTTAAATGGTGGATGACTGGCCGTTTGTTGAATAGAAATGAAACTCTGGTCATATCAACAATGCTACATCATTTGCTATTGGACTGTCAGAATTAACAATAAAACTACATTAAGATAAATAGTAAGGGGGTGTCATCTTCCTGCAACCAATAGATGATTATGAACTTAGGATCAATCCATCTTAACTTGCTTTGGCACTAAGCAGAATTTGATTAGCTATCAGTGAAATGAGTTTATCAATTTGATTATTTGATGTATTTTCTTAAACTGGGCATGGTAATCTTTAACTTCTTCATTTTTGCTGCATCCATGAACTAAAGATTTCACATTTGCAAGTAATGTGTAAATGCAGGCAACAATTAAAAATCAAGTGTTGTGTTGAAGTTTTGTGATTCTGTAATATCTGTGATGAGAAACTGGGTATGTTTGACTTGTTAGCCCTGCCGTCGCTTGGAAGTTAGGCGCAGGAACTGCTGCTATGACTATGACTCATTACTGGGTTGAACGACTTACAGAAGGAAGAATCTGGCATAGGCCACATTAAACTGTCATTTACTTATGGAGAATGGTCCACATTGTTTGTGGATGAGGAAATTCCACAACTTGTACAGTCATCAATGTTGTCTTTTTGTGCAAAGTCTGATATTTATTTCATGCTGCAGAAACTGGGTTTATATGCGTTGAATCCTCATCTTCAATCATCTTATTTCCTTGGACAGTGAAAAACGATGGGATTTTACCTTCAGCTGCGAGATACCATGGCGTTGTTGGCACTTGTTTTTGCTATTATTTTTCTCTGTGTGATTGTAAAAACTGCCAAAGGGAGCAAGAACAAAGGCAGGAGGCCACCGGAGCCAGCAGGGGCATGGCCTTTTATCGGTCATCTTCATCTTCTTGGATCAAACCAGCTGCTGCATCGAACATTTGGAGCCATGGCTGATAAGTATGGTCCAACCTTGTTGATCCACCTTGGAATTCATCAAGTGCTGGTAATCAGTAGCTGGGAAGTGGCAAAAGAATGTTTCACAGTAAATGACAGGATTTTCCCTACCCGTCCAAGGTATTTTGCTATAAAACTTATGGGATATGACCATGCCATGTTTGGCTTTGCTCCTTATGGACCATATTGGCGCGAGATTAGGAAGCTAGTCGCAGTTGAGATTCTCTCAAATCGCCGCCTTGAGTTGCTCAAGCATGTCCGTGACACAGAAATCAACTGTTTCATAGAAGGGTTATATAAAAAAAGTGTCAAAAATGGAGGCCTTGTTGCTGTAGACCTGAAGGAAAGGTTTGGGGACTTAGCAATGAATATCATAGTAAGACTGATGGCTGGTAAACGATATTTTGGTACTGATGCAAGTGGTGATGATCCAGAGTCAAGGCGGTGCCAAAAGGCCTTGGGTGATTTCTTCTACTTTGTGGGATTATTTTTGGCCTCAGATGCAGTTCCATGTCTTGGTTGGTTAGATTATGTGAAGGGATATGTAGGTGAAATGAAGAGGACTGCAAGGGAGTTAGATTCCATCTTTGAGAGTTGGGTGCAAGAGCATCATCAAAAAAGGCTCAACAGAAACATCAATGAGGAGGAGCATGACTTGATAGATGTGATGCTGTCTATCATGGATGAAGGCAGGATTTCAGCTCAAGATGATGCACATACTGTCATTAAGGCAACTTGCTTGGTAAATTCCTGGCTATTCAGTTACTCCAAATTTTCCCAAATCATATTTTATGAATTGAAAATAAAAGAAAAGAAAGGAATTTTCTGTCTTTCATTGTCAAAACACTACCATTTTGATTAACATGTAAAGTGTTAATAGAACTTATTATAGATCTCTCCTCACATATCTAAAGTGAACTTGCAAAAATCCCACTGGAGAAGATCATGGCTAATCAACTAAACCATGGTAGAGAAAAGTAGAAAAATTTTAATTGTTAATGATATGACCTTTCAATCCTGGGGTCTGTTTAGGAGTTTCACGGTAGCGGTTATGAGGATAAACCACTATAACGGTTTTGAGGGGTTTAAAATACCAACTTGTGCTTGAGAGTTTATTTTCTAACGACTTTGACAGTTTTTTAAAATAATAAATTTACATATATGCCCATAAAAATAAAAGCTGAAGAACAAATAATCGAATGAAAAGAAGTCAAGTCTTTTTCTCTTTCCTGCTGTTTTGTGAGTATTTTATAGGCAATAGTGATTTTTGGATATAATTAGGATAGTTTTATATTGGATGGGGTATTTGTGGAATAAAAATTTAAAACCAACCAAAACACCCTTAAAAAATACACTACAATGGTTCTGTGAGTGTGAGGTTTTTGAACCAGTCAAAACTAATGCATAAAATACCCAAATGTGAACCGACCAATTGTGAGTTGTCATATCAGCTTTTGTGAGAGAAGTTAGTGAGAAGTGTTTGTCAGCTTATCTTTATCTCCTAAACTATTATATCTTCTTTGCAGAGCCTTATTTTAGGTGGCAATGACACCACAGTGGTAACACTTACATGGGTGATATCTCTGTTACTGAACAATCGCCATGTGCTAAAGAAAGCGCAAGATGAGCTCAACGTCCATGTCGGAAAACATAGGCAAGTAGAGGAGTCAGATATAAAGAACCTGATATACTTACAAGCCATTGTGAAGGAAACATTGAGATTATACCCTGCACTGCCACTTTCAGCACCACGCAAGGCCATGGAGGACTGCACCATATCTGGCTTCCACATTCCAGCAGGCACACACCTCGTTGTTAACCTGTGGAAGTTGCAGCGTGACCCCAGCATTTGGTCAAACCCTTCAGAATTCATACCTGAGAGGTTCCTTAATGACCATGCCAAGTTGGACTTTAATGGTCAGGATTTTGAATATATACCATTTGGTTCTGGAAGGAGGAAGTGTCCAGGGATCTCATTTGCACTTCAAGTCCTGCATTTGACCCTGGCTAGGCTGCTTCATGCATTCGAGTTAGGGACAGTCTCGGATACACCAGTGGATATGACTGAAGGTCCTGGATTGACTGTCCCCAAAGCAACACCATTGGAGGTCACCCTTACTCCAAGGCTAGATTCCATCTGCTATTCGAGTACTAAAAACTAAGAACAGTAATAGCCTCTTCTGCTTCGTGCTCATCGATGTATCAAACATGTAAACTATGTACAGGATCATATTTATGTAAAAACAAACTCAAAACTATTGAGTCTAAAAGTTTTATCACTTATCTCATTATTGTGATACTTTTAAAACAGAATTTACAAGTAAAATCACAATATGTGTTTCTACTAAGACCCTCTTTTCCCTGTTCTAAAATTTTAATATTTTCATTTTTCAATAATCTTGTAATTGTAACGTTTGATTGATGAGGGCCAGATTAAGGGTGAAATCGAATCGAGTCGAGTCGAGCATCTTGTAAATCGAACTCAACTTGATCGTTATAGTATCGAGTTTGAGCCTGGTCGAGTATGAGAAATCAAGTTTGAACTTGAACTCGGTACTTGAAATTGGAAATCGAGTTCGAATTCGAGTTCGTATAATTGAGTTTTAATCAAGTTCAAATTCGAACTTGATTTCGACCTCATCTAACAGGGGTGGATTTATAATTTTTATAACTTTTAAATTACATATAGCCTTTATTACTTTAAAAACTATCAACTTAACCATAAAACTTGAAAATACTGGCAAAGATATCAAGTCGAGTTCTATTATGATCGAACTCGACTTGACTAATGTTGAGTCGAGTTCGAGTAGCTCGACTCGATTTTCAACCCTAGGCCAGATGTTACATCAACTTGAGGTGAAAGAAATCATACGAAGCATGAAAAAGAAAATACAATAAGCAAGGAGCACATAATATACAAACAATACTGAGGAAGTATTGCGGCTATAGGAATAATAATACAATCTATTTATTATTGATAGCAGCTTCTGAGTGATCCAATGATCTTAAGTGAACATGATATTTTCATGTTTAAATTTCTACATCTTAGGGATGAACTAGCTTTAAGCCATCAGCTGCTATGGAAACATCTATGACTCTACTGTGAAGTTGCTCATATTGGGTTGACTGACATCTGGGGGCATATTTTCTAGCTAACATTAGGCAAACGGATCCTGTAAATACCAATATTCCAGAGAGTACCCAACTGAATTGCAAGTTAGCTAGTCCCCGTGCTCGAAAATCTGCCTCATGAGATGCGCAAATGACTGCTCCATGCATGTTGCTACTGACTTCCTCTGCAAGCTGCATACTGCATCCCTGAGGAACAAACTCTGGAGACCAAAGATTGAACCCCATGTTCACAAACCAACAGCCTTGGAACACAACTGAAATCGAAACAACAAGAGCAGCAAGAAAATTGTTCGGGAAACTTGTTGCTGATATAGCTGCCACAAAGGAGATGAACACTATGAGCTGAAAGAGCCAATGGTAATGGCCTTCCAGGCCAACATGATTAGCGGAGTGGAAATGAATTAGGAACAGCTCTTGACCGAAAACGGAAGCTACAAGCATTCCTGGAACTCCAGATAGGATGTCAGATGAATGAGTTATATCCGCACAAAGAGTGAAACCTGCAAATATGGCGAGATGGAGAAACATGGTAGCATGCTCAAAGTTGTCAAGCTTGAACGCCAAGTGAAGAAAAGGGAAGTCAAGAACTTGCATAAAAATCGCGAGAAGAGAGAAGCATAAGATGAAAATGAGCTCCAAATGTTTAAGCTTCGATGAAGGGCCATTGAATGGAAACCAAAACCTTACTTTAAAGTTGTTAGAGCCTTTGAGACAGTAAGCTCTGATAGTGTTGATGGTATGCCATAGGCCAAGAACAGTGAGGGCTAAACCCGGGACTAAGTGTCCAACAAACGTTCCCATGGAAGCTCCTTTTCTTTAAGAGAAACAATACTTGGTCTTTGCTTTGCTCTCCACTCAAAAATTTAAATACCAGAAGCAATTGCAGATACGTCCTGGCAACAAAAGAACAAGATGGTAATCTATTCATATCTTTGGTGCATGGTGCATGTGTTTCCACAAACAAAAAACGCCAAGAAAAAGACACACATATAGTGCAATAAATAAAGAAGATGGGTTATCATAAAGGAAATACTGTTTTAAAAGAATACATCTTAAAGAACTAAATGACAATCGGTTGTTACTTCAAGACCATTCAAATAATCTTTTTTAATTGAGTATTCAAGTGTCCTACATAGCTTTCATGATCTTCTTCAACTTTAAACTTGTCAAAAAATCAAAAGAATCGACCTTCATGGACTCATTTATGCATAGATTACTTTCCATGTCTTTCTATATAACCAAATAAAGTTTTTGCCTATGTGTCAGGGAAGAAGAAGACTTGTCCCTTAGAGACTATGAGAGCCACTTAGTCACCCCAATCAATCTGCAGATAGTGGAGAATGAGATGTCTCCAATATAATGTAATGGCAAATTATATGATTCCATTTGTCAAGATAATTCTAATGGGAAACTCATTTCACTAGAAATGTAATGACAATTAATATTGAAGTTGCAGATTCCAGGTATATTCCCCTTCATATTACAGTGGTTTCTCAGAATAGAAGAGCTTGTTGCATCAATTTTTGTCCAGCCCCACTTCTTAAAGTTGAAGTTTACAGCACCTGCAAAAGAAAAAGTAAAATTTAGTGAAGCTATAGTGACCACCTTCCTGAGGATAATAAATACAAAATCTGATGCACCATAGTGACCACCTAGGCCTCTAATTCAAGCTTTCAGTAAAGTCTTGGAATTATTGAGCCGAGTTAATTAATCTCCACCACTAAAGCTTTGTGTATAAACATTTTTCCCCTCCAATTTTGAGAAATTTATACCAACACCCCCATATAGATGTTTGCCATTTAAACCTGTACATTTATCTGACATAAACACTATTGAAGGTAACAGCATTAGTTTCTCAAAATGAAAGTGAAATCTTTTTTGTGTTAAACCTCAAGTGTAGCTCTTACTTAATAAACCCTTATTGAGACACTTTCAAGGGCTTGAACATCTATTCTCAATCTTATCCCCTTTCTTTGGCGATGGGAAATATTACAATAACAAAATAATTCACATATTCTATTATACTGAAATTACAGAAATTGATACTGAGGTAGCATTTAATTATCTTCCTGTTTCATTAAACCTGCATCATGTAAGTCTTCTTGTATTGTACCCATTTATTGATGTTGGCAAATTTTTTTTTTTTTTTTTATGATCGGGAGTGTTCGGGCTAGCTTGTGTGCACCTCAACAAATCCCTCGCCTCCAATGGCCACCCCTATTAGCAGTCGAGATGAATCAAACTGAAGACCTCTTAAGTAATACACTTAAGAGTCCTAATTTACCGCTCGACTATCCAGTGATGGTTTCTTTCTTTAGTTAACACAAACCAAAGCGGTACCAGTACTTGATTTTAGTGATCACATTATTACAAGCCAATAAAGCCATTGAATATGGGGGATTCCCTGAACGAAGATAAGATAAAGCCATTAATGCCACTGAATAAAGTAGATTTCTTGAAGGAAAATAAGACATTACTGTGATCAATATTAAGTGCTGGGTTTTGGTGTTGGATGAAAAATTTCTGTAATAAGCTAACTATATTCAGTGGCATGACAAGTTTGAGGTTGCTTATTCTGCAGATCAAGTTTGTCAGCTGTCAGCATGATAGACTGAACTGTTGTCGATCATGATTCTTCAGAGCTACAGATTAACCCTGCTGGTCGATTTCAGTTCCATTTGTTTTGCAATGATATTGTGAAAAGCATGTCCCCATTACAGTGAAGTTTGCAGGGAAAATTATGCTCAATACATCAATTACATATCCAAGACTTCAAGATACAAAATGAATACAGCGGCATAGCTGAGACCTGGTTTAAATAAAAAGAAAGAAAATGAAAAGAGAAAGAGTTTTGTTCAAGAAATAGAACTTTATGGCCAAATCTCAGGATTGTCACTGCAATAAACCTTAGTTGAGCCACTTTGAGGGGTTTGAAAATCTATTCCCCATCTTATCCCCTTCCTAAAGTGATTAGAATCTCACAGATACAGGAATACGAAATGAGAGATATTGATAATAAGGTAGTAATAAGCTTACTGTTTTGTTTTATAAACCTTCAATATGTAAATCATCATGAAATAAATGGATTAAAGTGATGGCTTTGTATTGTTACCCATTTATTGATGCTAGCAAAATCTCTCCCTTTAATCAACACAAACCAAACCAATACTTGATATATAATGGTCACATTATTACAAACCAATAAGACATTGATGTGATCATTAATATGAAGTACTGGTTTGGTAGTGGGTGAAAAACTACACTTCCAGTTTGAGATAGCCAGATCTAGATCCATGGCAAGTCCCAGAACCAAAAACACTCACTTCACTTTCAACCAGTCTTAAACTGGCAACGAGCAGTGGTTATATCTGTCATGGACCTTCAAGCTTGGTTAATTTGTAGTCAAATGAATAATTTCTCTGGTAAGCTAACAGAAATTGCAATCAGAAATATCACTTGTTTTTGAAATTATGCTCAATACACCAATTACATATCCAAGACATCAAGATACAAGATGTATACAGCAGCAGACCTGAGTCCTGGTATACAAAAAGAGAAGAAAATGAAAAGAGAGAAAGAATTCCATAGAATATTACAAGTGACAACAAAATGTGCCAACTCACTAAACTAACATAAATAATTTCTTATTAACCACAATAAATAAATTTTTTAGTCTACTGTCTCAAACAATTCAACATTACAGAGACTTGAGCTGTAGAAGAACCAAATCTTACCAAAGTAATTACAGTCTCCCAAATAAGAACCTTTTCTGGTGAACAAGCAAGAATGCACCTCTGAAGCACTCCATTTTATGTTAGTAGTTAAGTTGCTGCAGGCTAACAAATTGCTATGAATCACTGGTTTCTGCAACACTACCAACATTCCCTATTGCCTCAATCAAAGAGAAGTATGTGCTGTCATCAGGATTGATTCCATTACTAACCATTTCTCTGAGGAGCTCTTCAGCAAGTTTTCCTTCCTGGTTTTTGCATAAACCTTGTATAAGGGCATTGTAAGTGAGACGGGTGGGATTGAAACCGATACTCAACATCTCATCCCGAACCCTAAAAGCATCCTTCATATCACCTCTCTTACTATAACCACTAATAAGGGTGTTGTAACTAACGTGATCAGGCGTAATCCCTCTTCTCTTCATCTGATCTAGAAGCTCACGGGCTTCTTCAACTTTCCCCTCTCTGCAGCGCCCTTGCATTAGGGTATTGTAGGTCACTTCATCGGGAAGAACTTTCTTCCTTTCCATCTCCTTCAATAGTGCAAATGCACGCTCAAAGTTACCATTAGCACAATGTCCATCAATCAAGGCATTAAACATAACAACATCTGGCAAAATGCCTTTACCAACTATCCTTTCAAACAATTGATCTGCTTCTCTCATTCTATTTCGCTTACTCAAAACATAGATAAGTGATGTATAAGTTACAGTAGTTGGCTGAATGCCTCTAGTCACCATTTCATCAAGGAGGCTAAAGGCTTTCTTTGCATTCCCACATCTGCAATAGCCATTAATCAAGATATTATATGTTATAGAATCAGGAACAATCCCCTTTTCCCCCATTTCTTTTATCATATCATCAGCTTCGCTCATCTTGCCTTCCATAAATAAAGCATGAATCAACAAATTATAAGTGTAAGCAGTCGGCCTTATACCCTGCTTCACCATCTCATCCCTGTAACCGAAGGCCGTCTCCAAATTCCCTTTATTGCAATGCCCATCAATCAAGGTGTTATAGGTCACAGCAGTTGGAACCAACCCGTTTTCTTTCATCTTCTGTAACATCCCAGCTGCCTCTTCAAGCCTGCCTTCCTTACACAACCTACTGATAAACGATCCATATGTATAAGAATCCGGTTGAGCCCCTTTACTCTTCATTTTATTCAAAATCATTTGAGCCCCTTCGATTCTCCCTCTCATACAATACCCATGAATGATTGTATTATACGTAACAACATTAGGCTTAACTCCTAAACCCTCCATAAGCCCTATAAACTCCTTCGCCTTCTTTAGCTTTCCTTCCTTACACAACAAATTTATCATTATATTAAACGTGTACACACTCGACTTAATCCTCATCCTAAACATCTCAGCATACAGCACCCATGCGCACTCCGTTTGATTCAACTTCAGAAACAAACTTAGCATACTATTACAAGTCTCAGTCTTTGGAACAAAACCCTTTTCTTTCATAATATTAAAACAGTTAACAGCATCATCACCTCTCTTCATTTCACAACAAGCGCTTATCAACAAATCGAAAACAATACTACTCTCAGTACTTAACTCATCGCGGGCAAGTGTCAGCTCATCAAAGAGCACGTTAGTTGAAGTAATGCCACTAAGTAAGGTCTCTTTTAAGAGCTGCAATGTTGGTTTTGGTGAAGGTAACCAGGAGACTATAGCTATAGCTAGGCAACGGGTTTTGATATCAAGAACGCGACTAAAATCGATATGGGTTATGAATTGGAGAGCTAAGTCAGGGGTTTTGTGAAGACTTAAAAGAGTTGTTCTGATAAGAGCGGGAGTGAGTTTTGGCGCAAGGTGTTTGATGGAATGCCACTGAGAAGAGTGGATTTAGTTAACGAGCTGTTCATGGGTTATATCAACTGGGTTTTCTGTCGGAGCGTTTGGGGAGAGAATCTGAGGTTGTCGGGTGGGGTTTGATCGTGGGGTTGAAGAGAAAACCTTATAGGAGTGAGATTGTACTGTAGAAATTATAGTTTTGACGTTACAGTGTTTGAATAATGGACAGACCTTGAGAAGTTTCATGTTAAAGAAAGAAAGAATGCTTTCTGTGAATGTCAAGAGGGAGAGGGAGAGAGTAGTGCATACCAGAGAGGGGTTTTAGCTTAATGGGTACTTATACGCTGCCTGCAGCGACTGAAACCTTGTACAGGCTCATTAATCATTACATAATGGGTTATGTAATTCCCCGTGTAGATATGAAGATGATAAGTCGTGGAAATTCAAAATTTGTGATAAATGTCTTTCCATTTTCAGTCTAATTATTTACATATTCCACAAGAGGTCCATAGCTTTTAGTCATTCTGATCTTTTTATCATCAGATTAGTATCATTAAAATTGGCTTGAGTTTGAAGGAACAATCCTATATTAATCTCTTTTTTTTTTTTTTTGTTCTTTATCAGCGATTTTCAGATCAATTTACACATCTCGACTAATTTCTTTGGATCCTGAAGTTATCGATCCAATAGCCATTCCTATTAACAACCAAAGAAAATTGACTACAAATTTTTTTGAATAATACACTCAAAAGTCTCTATCGTCCCATCTAACCACCTAAGGGTGAGTAGAACATATTCTGGTTCGACAGTTCAAGCAAGAGTCGAAACTTGAAGCCATTGTCTGTGTCCAGATAATCTAAAAGGATCTAAATTCGCGTCACACCACATATTAAATATACGAGTTCGTTGAAAATCTGAGAAAATATTAGGTAAAGAGTTTCATCTTTGCGTTAACCCATTTACTTCTACAAATTTTGAGTACAGATGATCAAATTCGTTTGGATATAATGCTCCTAGAAAAGCTGTGAAAATTCTCCACAGAAAGCTTAAAAAAAACCACATAAACATACAATAGAGCTCCAGAAACCCTTTCTGCTGGCATGCCCATAGGAACAATGATCTGCTCAAGAAATAGTTTTTAGCTTTGTTTTCCATTTTATAACACATCCCTTTCAAATGCGAATCAAGAATATTAAATGCATCAAATTATATTAGATATCTAAGAAGTCTTTAATCCGGAACTCCATAATACAGGACCAAACAATTTAAGAAGACAAAAGAATTATATCAAGTCATAATAAATACATAACAAGAACCTTACAACAATCACTCTACCCGGACACAAAAATTTGTTCACTAATTACTTAAAATCCCCTGTAAAGATCCCTCTATGCCATTGTGTATCCATAATAAGACCCTTGTAACAATCACGCCAATCAGATATATATAATAGTAAAAAAAAAAACACTATCAATTACTGACAATCCCGAACAAAACTTCTTAACTCTTTAGGAAAGATATCTTCTGCCATTTAGTATCCATATTTAGCCCAAGCTACCTGCAAAGTGAGATAATCAGCAATGCGCAGAATCTACAAAAACTGAAAACCCAAGTTGCAAATAAAATCATAATTAGTGCATGAAAATACATATCTTCTTTATCCTTGGAAATGATAATAGTATTTTCTAAGCCAGCTTTGATTTTTCTGAATAAAATGGTGCCAAGAAAGCAGATCGAACAGAACGTTTCAAAGAAAGAAAACAAGCTGAACCGAGGAAATAGGTGATACAGGATTTGATCATCCAATGCTCATATAGAGAGAAAATTTCATTAATTTTCTCTTTGAGACAAGAAATGACTCTAAAAGTCCATACATCAAGGGCAACAGTGAGGAAGCCATGGTAAATAAGCTGTAATTTTAAGAAAATAATAATAATTTACCTCCGTGAGAAAAAGATACAACTTATGTAAATGGCACACTTGTTACATCCAATTTAGGCAACTAAAATAGAAAGTAGAAAGGAAAACCTAAAACAAAGAATTTCAATTTTTTGAGAACCTAAAAAATTCTCAAACCCACTTAACAAACTCAAGTTCAAAACTAGGATCCCGCCTTAACGAACTCAAGAATATTTGGAAAAGAGGAAACACAATGCTATTTGTGGGGTAGGTGATCCTTACTACTCCAACCCTATACCTTGACAAGGCCGACCACAAGCCTAGCAACTTGACAAACCCTCTAACAATATGCTCAACTCATATATGTCAAACGAAGGAAACGTCCATCTTTATGACATAAGAATAGATTTCTAACTGATCCAAATGAAGGGAGCATCCACCTTTATGACATGAGAATAGATCTATAACTGATAAGAATAGATCTCCAACAGATAGATGTCAGATGAAGGAAAGCATCCATCTTTATGATATAAGAATATATCGCTAAGCAAGACAAAAGTCGACAAAATGGTAGCAACACAATATAAGCTAAACAACGACCCACTACCACAGAATTACCAGTACGGTCAAATCAGCCGTTAACAATATCAATTTCACAAGCCACAATCATTTAATTCATAAAAACAACCTAAGTAAATATGGAAAAACCGATTCAATAAATTCCAACCCTGTCTTTTAACAATGTGTGTATCATAGCACAAATCAAAATTTATTAAACCAAAATAACAGCCATTTTTCATACACAATAAAAACTAACATAGTGTAATCGACAACAAATAAAAAATTAATAGTAATAATCACCTGGAAACGTTTCATCAAATTACGCGGCGGCAACTGGCTGTTGTTTGGAGGGTTCGAACTTATCCTTCTGTTTCTTGTCGAGGAAATCTTCGATGTTGTAAATTACCGTTATGAAAAGGGTACAGCTGGGGCAATTCGCCATTACCTCGCCGCGTTGGAGCTCGTCTTTGGATATTTGAAACAAGTCGCCGCATGGGCAGGGGTACGTATACACCTGCAGCTCCTCGTTCCACTCCATGTCTTCGATCTCCACGTCGTCGTACGACATTATCTATGGTTTTAGGGTCTTTTTTTGGGGGCCTAGGGTTTATTTGTTTTAAGGAGAAGAACGATAGAACCAGAATAATGACGGTTTCTTCTCTGGTCTCCACAGAGGCGGCGTTCGCCTTTATAAGTTTTTGTGGGCTTCAAATATTTTGTTGGTCCCTTTATGTTTATAATTTTTCCCCCCAGAAGTTTATATGAGTGTTTTTTACCCCCTAAGCTTTCCACTTCAATTCATCTAATTATACTTTCTAGTAAAGCTTATTAAACTAGATGTTAGAGATTTAGTGTAACGCCCACTTTGAGATATGTAATTCTATATGCTTATTTTGCTTTGGTGATGAACTTGTTTGATCATATTGTTGATTGAATTGCCCTTGGTTAATTTTGCAAGTTGTTAAAGTTATTTGGATGCCCTGATTTTGGTGAAGGATGTGCGAATTGTAGAATTACAGATTTCGCCGGGGGGAAGAACAAGCTTTACTGCGGTGACGTACGCTCTGTAATTTTTCGTCGACAACGTACACTTTGTAATTTTTCGCCGAGGCGAAGAGCTAGCTGATTTTCTTGTGAAGTTTCTAAAGAAATTTTCTATAGGGGTAAAATGACTATTCTATCCCTGATTAGCAGGAAAAGTGGAGAGTGAAATGTAAGAAAATTTCATGAAGAATGCATTGGAGATAGGGGTGTATTTGTAAAGAAATAAATGGCAATGATGGAATTTAAAGAAAGTGTAAAGGCAAAATGGGAAAGCATGTTTATTTATATGAGCTAATAAGGGTTTAGCCTTACAAACCCTCCCATTCTCTACACCCCATACACCACTTCCACTCTCTATTTCTCTCATCTCTTCATCCAATTTGCTAAGGAAATTGAAGGTTTTTGGTTGGATTTTTAATAGGGATTTGATCTTATGTAACGACTCATTTCTACTCATATACTCATAAAAATACATATAATAAGATACATGTATGATAACATAAATAGATGGGCCCAAATTTTTTGCTTTCATTAAAAATACATATTCTTTACACAAAATAAAGTATCATATACAAAAAGTCATCAAAATGTGGTGGACAGTGTAACTATTTTTCTTCGCTTGCTGACGTCCATCCGATCACATCCTCACCTAGATCTTACAAAACACATAGAAACAACGAGGTGAGCACAAATAATGCTTAGTAAGTAAATCATCTACTCATCTATCCCCGTAACTCTTTCTCTTAATTCTTTCCTTACATACTCTCTCGAATGTCACGGCCTCATCTTATCGGAGACACGGCTGGGATTCATCCCACTCTTCATGACTTCTGTTTTTTTTTTTTTTTTTTTTTTCTCTAGGGCTTCTCTCATTCTTTCTATTTGAATGTCACGGCCTCATCTTACCGAAGGCACGGCTGGGAGATCACAAAGCACCCACTCTTCGTGACTTCTACTCACTCAAATGTCATGGCCCCATCTTACCGGAGGCACGGCTGGGAGATCACAAAGCACCCACTCTCGTGACTTTTACTCACTCAAATGTCATGACCCCATCTTATCGGAGGCATGGCTGGGAGATCACAAAGCACCCACTCTCGTGACAAGTCTACTCATCACTCACGGGTTCCCCATCGCACAACCTACTATATTCTCTTCTTTAGCACTACTCTTTATTTGTTCTCTAGTGCTTATTCTCTCTTTCTCTTTACTCTTGGAGTAGCTTACACTCCAATTCTCTACTCTTTCTTGAGCTACTTCTCAAGTGCACAATTAATGCATATGGATGGCTCATGCTCATTAATGCACTTATGAAATGCCAATATGTAATGTTGCAAGAATTAAGGTTCTCTACTCATGCATATGCTTCTCTCAAGCATTTCATCAAATAATAAGCATGCATAAATAAATTCTACTTTAACTATAGTTCTATTTCTTTCTTGACCATCCATAATTGGAGTAAAACTCCTCCATAATAATTCTAAACCTGTCAAGGAAAGGCACTTCAAAAATATCTATTCAAAAATATCTACTCAAATTCTTCTCAAATTTAGCCAAACTTCAATTGGCTATCCCAACCTTGACTCTACTTCTCATGGCTCAAAAACCATTCATCAACCCAACTCATCAACAATTACAAACTTAGCAATCAATCTCACAATTATAAGTATATAAATACATATCAAATCATTTGATTGCTTAAATCTTAACTTGTGTTAGATTTACTTACCTTGTGAGTGAGTGGCTTCACTAGCACTTCTTTTTCCCTTTGGTAGCTTATATTTTCTCTACAACTTTAAACAATAACACCATAAGACTTCAACACATCCATAATCAAATTTCATATCTAAAGCATGAATCCTTACCTTAGGATGCTTTAGATTAACTCTCTACCAAAAACTACTCAAAAGCCCTCCAAAAGTCCTTAAAAATTCTTGGAAAATTGAGTGGAAGGTTGAGAGAAAATGGGGAATGGGAATGGCGGTGGAAGAAGAAGAATGAAGGGTTTGCTAAGTCTTAACCGTTATTAGCTCATAATATAACCACTCTTTCCCATTTTGCCCTTGCACTTTCTTAGAAATTCCATTATTGTCCTTTAATTCATTACACTCACACCCTCACTCTAACATATTCTCCATGAAATTTCCTTACATTTTACTCCCCACTTTTCCTGCTAATTAGGGGTAGAATGGTCATTTTGCCCTTAGGGAAAAAATATCTAGAAACTTCAACAAAAATCTCAGTCAGCTCTTCGCTGCGGCGAAGCAAGTTTCTTCGCCCCAGCGAAGAAATTCAGGACATACGTCGCCGTGGCGAAGACTGAAATTCTAAAATTCGCCAAGTCTTAACCAATTTCAGGGCAAACACTCAACCAAACCAACACATCACTTTAACCAAGGGCCAACCAAACAATATTAATAATATATCAACTCAATTAAGAACAAAACAATAAAGATTCAAGCAATGCAACATAAATTAGCTACATAGCTCAAGTGGTGCGTTACATCCTAAGCATCAAAAGATAAGGATTCTTGCTCTAATTATGAGATTAATTGGTGTAAGTGTTGAATTCTTATTAAGTTTATGCTTAGGGTTTGAGAGAAAGAACAAGTTTACCAAAGCTAGAAAGCTTTTGTGGAATTACTCAAGCATAAGGTAAGTAAATCCAACCTAAGCTAAGAGTTAAGTAATTAAATGATGTGATATGCATGTATATGCTTATGAGTTTGAGATTGATGGTTGAGAATGATGTTATTGATGAGTAGATGGCTCGTGATGAGTAGATTTGAGCCATGAGAAGCGAAGTTGATATTGTGGTGACCAAGTAAAGTTTGGTTGCATTTAGAAAGAATTTAAGTAGAATATTTGAAGTGTATTTTCCTGGCCAGGATTTGTGATGATTCAAGAGAGTTTTACTCCAATTATGGATGGTCTAAGAAAGAAGTAGAATTCTAGTTAAAATAGAATTTCAGTATGCATATTTGTTGTTTGATGAAATGCCTAATAAAAGCATATGCATGAGTAGAGAACACTTAATTTTGTGCAACATTGCATATTTGCATTCCATGTTTGCATTCAAGAAAGAATTATAAGCATGAGTCATCCACATGCATATATTTGCATATGCATAAGAACTTAAAGAAAGAATAAAGAACTTTAAGAATAAAGAGAAAGAAAGAAAGACTAAAGAATAAAGAAAGAAAAGTGCTAAAGAAGATAAAAGAATAAGTTGTTGCGATGGGGAACCCATGGGTGATAAGAAGAAGAAATTCTCACATACACGCCACTTTAATTGAATGACCTAAGAAGAAGAAGAAATTGTACGGCCCGTAAGAGTGTATGTGGATGAGGGCTGTACCAAGAAGAATTTCCTATATGCACACTGCCTTAAGTGAGCGGCCTAAGAAGAAGAAAGAATTTGTACAGTCCGCAAGAATGCATGTAGATGAGAACTGTACTCACTCACATGGCCAAGGTTCGAATCCATGCATCAACCGAATATGATCGGCAAAGAATAAGAATAAGAATAATAAAGAATAAGAAAAGAAAAGAAGAGCTTGAGCAAGCAAGAAAAGAAAAAGAAAGAAAGAAAAAGAAAGAAAAGAATAGAATAGAAAGAAAAGAAAAGAAACAGAATAAGAAATAGAAAAGAAGAAAGAAAATGTATTTCTATGCATTACTGCATGTGCATTTCATTCATGCATGCTATCATGATTTCCATCATGGTTTGTGAGAATAAGAAGAAAGAAAGAAAGAACAGGGAGAAAAAGAAAGAAAGAAAGAACAAAGAAAAAGAAAAAACATAGAGAATTAGAAAGAAAGAAAAGAATAGTGAGAACTAGAAACAGTGAAAGAAAAAAGAAAGAACAATAGAGAATAAAGAAGAAAATAATAGAGTAAGGAAAGAACCAAAAAGGAAGTTACGGGGATAGAAGAGTAGAGGATTTACTTATTGAACATTTTGTGCTTACCCCATTATTTTTCCATGTTTTGCAGGAAATAAGTGAGAAGTGGTCGGATGGACATAAAAAAGCGGAGAGAAATGGCACTACTGTTCACCGTTGTTAAAGCTTTTGTATATGCCATTTTGTAGAATTATATATTAAGTAAAAAGAAATTTTTTGGGCCCATCTACTTTTATATTTTATGTATGCATGTTTTCATAATATATTTTCTAAGTATACTAGTAGGAAGAAGCTATTACATTTAGAAACTATAAAGAAGGTTACAAATTAATTACTTTTATTTGAGGAAAACATAATTTTAATAAAAATAAAGAGTAACAACTTTTTCCCACCCAAATAATGNAACATCTACAATAGAGAATAAATTGTCTTTTCAGATACCTGAATTGGGTAAATTGTCAGTTTTGTAGAACCTTAGGGGAGAAAAAGGAGAGATTTTGAGAGGAAATTTGGACAAGAGCAAATAATTAGAAAGATATTCTAGAAATATTAAATAAATGAATCCTGGTATGACAAAAGGCAAGAGTAAATAAAGTAATAGAAAGGGTGGTTCCTCGATTCCCAAATTGGATTATTAGATTATATAACATAATGTTTGTTTGTGTTTTAGTCATATTGTATGTAC